AACAGATTTTATATTATACTAGTCAGCATAGCTTTCCAGTTTCCACGCCTATATAAAGGGAATTTATTAAAAATCGTCATTCTAAATCTAAAATCTAAGATCCAAAATAAATTCAAACAATTGAACGAAAAATTCGAATAATACGGAAAGTTGTTAGAAAAAATTATTCAACAAAACTGTTTCAAAAACGTAAAAATACAAAAGTAAAATCATAAAACCCCTAAAATACCCTTGAAAAAATGGCAAAATTGGCGTCCCCTGTCAATAGTAGATCCATATACCGCCCTTAGCCCCCTATTTTTTGTTTTATGGGCCCGACTTAGCCCAATGTTTTGCTCCCTGAGAGAGAGAGAGGAGGATGAAGAAAACTATGAAGGGTGGGGAACCAAGGGAGCGTAATGGTCTTAACAAGTTGCCAATGAGGATATAATAGTCATTTAGACATCAATTCCATATAAATATGAAAATTCCATGATCCTCTCCATAGATAATTCAAGCATATCAAAACATCTAAAAGTATGAATTTTTTCAGAGTAGTTGTGTGATAGCCATTTAAATATCAATTCATAAATCTGATAATTCCAGCATACCAAACTGACTTTCATAACTTTTCTATCATTAAAAAAAAAAAGACTTTATGATCTTTTCTTTTACCTATTTCTTTTAGAGAGAATTATAATGAGGTTCTAAAAAAAATAATTACAAAATAAGTCTAAAAAATTTTTATTTTTTATTTTAAAACTTATGATTACACGTTGCTTAGGTTGTTATTAGAACTTTTTAGTAATTATTTTCTTTCCTAATCTCATTGTAAATTGTTATTCTCCCTTCTTTTATTACTCTAATATTTGATATTTGATACCATTCCTAATAAACTGATATAGAATAGAAAAGTTTGTTTTTAAGCGTATCTTCGAAAATCTTACATGGGGCATTTCTGTAGCTTCTTTTTTATATATGGGTGTGTGTGTACATATACATATCTTCATTTTTTTTAATAATATTCATTGAGCATTGTCTATATTATACTTATTTTCTGCTCCAGATTCGTATATTTACCAAAAAAAAAAATTGAAACCTTGGATAGCCATCTATACATGAAGAGGATAATATCCGTATAAAATAAAATAATCTAAAATCGGCAACGGATTTTACATTATAGTCGTTAGCTTTCCAGTTTCCACACCATTATAAAAGGAATTAATTAAAAATCTTTAACTCTAAATCTAAAATCTAAGGTCCAAAATAAATTCAAATAATTGAATAAAAATTCAAATAATACGGAAAGTAGTTAGAAAAAATTATGAGAAAATCCCCAAAAAAGTGATGTTGAATTTCAAAATTCTAAATAAATATTGGTTACTATACTCATAAAGAAAATAACTGCATTCAAAAAGCATATGACAATACATTTTTGTACTAATTCCTGATTTGGAATTTTGAAATTCAACAATAATTTTTTTGCGATTTTTTCAAAAATTATTCAACAAAACTGTTTTAAAAACGTAAAAATACAAAAGTAAAATCATACAACCCCTAAGATACCCTCGAAAAAAGGGTAAAATTAGCTCCCCTTGTTAATAGTAGATCTATATGCAGCCCTTAGGCCCATGTCCACCTCTATTTTTTGTTTTATGGGCCCGACTTAGCCCAATCTCAATTTCGCCTTTGAGTACGGGTTTATTTTTAAAAACGAAAAAAGTTGCGGTATCTATAAAATGATAACCCTATCACCGGCCACATTCATACTCTAGGGTTTCTCACGGCAACAAGCGAAGAAAGGGCAATTTCCAGCAGCCGCTATGGTTCTCAAGTAAGTTCCGATTTTCCGTTGCTTTTCTTATCTCATCTCTCGGATATGTGTGCGTGCTGTGCATAATCAGGAGCTTTTGCTGAACCATGATCTCTAGGAATACTGTTATCTGAAATTCTTCTCGCGTTTTTCGTCCATCGTTTGGAGACTTTTTAGAGAAAAATAGATTCCAGATGAACTCATCAAGCCAAACAGTTAACGAGAAGTTTCTGAAACTCAGTGCAGTGCAATGCCCTGTCGAAAAGGGACTTTCTTCTAAGTCAGAAAGAGGCCTAAGGCCATACTCTCGATCGAGCATTATGGAAAATGTATTGTCATGTGTGATTATGCTCCTATTTACTTGGGATATAAAACGGTTTTTCTTAGAGACACTGGCAATGAAAAATTGAATTATCGACCCCTTCTTTCCCCGTGAAAAATCTGTCTGTTAAAAGATTATTTCTCAACATTTAGAAAATTTTGATCCATCCAGCTGGATCCATTGTAAATTCCTGTGTTTTCTGTTTTCCCAAGCTCCGAGCAGGACCATACGCAATAGGCATTGAAGAGATGACAAGAATTACTTCACCTGCCAATCGCGCCTCTCTGGTGTTGTGATTAAAAAAAAAAAATTCCTTCTTTGTACTGTGATTGTTGTGGTTATTATCTGTTTATCAATGATGACTTGATTTTGATTGAGTGGTACTGCTATTATTGCACAATTCAGCATTACTCGCCGAATAAAATTGCAAACCAGGCATCCTTTTATTTTTTTCCCCATCATAATAAAAAATGCAATCATTTTTCTACTTATTTTAACTGGTATTTGATGTTGGCATATCAGGACTGAGCTCTGTCGATTTAGTGGGGGCAAGATCTACCCTGGGAAAGGCATCAGATTCGTTCGCTCTGATTCTCAGGTGACTTCGATAGGATCAATCTTCCATTTTCAGGGCTCATATGATGACCTATCGTTCACTAAATGGGTTCCTTTTATATTTTTATCAGGTCTTTCTGTTTGCAAACTCAAAATGCAAAAGGTACTTCCACAACAGGTTGAAGCCGTCAAAGCTCACCTGGACTGCCATGTACAGGAAACAGCATAAGAAGGTATTGCTATCATCAAAATTACCGTTAGTTTTAGTCAACCTTTAACTTATATTAATCCCACATATTAAATTTCCTTCATTCTAAAGAATTCAAAATGTCTAAATAAAACATGTATAAATCTAAGATCATAAAAAAAAAATGTTTTTTACATAGGTGACTTCTTGCTTGTGTTGAATGTTTACTGCACTGAGAAGTCAGAATTAAGCACACAAACGAAATGTGTGTGTTTGCTTATTGTATTGTGAAACTGTTTGAAATGTCTGATCTCTCATTGATCAAATGCATGATTCTTGTTTGTGCATGTGGTGTGTGCAGGACATTGCCCAAGAAGCTGTGAAGAAGAGACGTCGCGCCACCAAAAAGCCGTACTCAAGGTCTATTGTCGGTGCTACTCTGGAAGTCATACAGAAGAAAAGAACTGAGAAACCAGAGGTCAGAGATGCAGCCAGAGAAGCTGCTCTTCGGTGTGTATCCCTTGCTCCTCACCGAGACATTTGTTTTGATCTCATGTTGGATGGCACAAGGTTACGTTACACCATATATCTTCTAATTATCTGAATGTGTAATGCAGTGAGATTAAAGAAAGGATCAAAAAGACGAAGGATGAGAAGAAAGCGAAGAAGGCCGAAGTAATGGCCAAGGCACAAAAAGCACAAGGGAAAGGAAATGTTCTCAAGGGTGCTGCCCCTAAAGGTCCTAAACTTGGGGGAGGTGGTGGAAAGCGCTGAACCGTCTTTTGTCTGTTTCTTTTTTAGAGGATTTTGGTGCATTTAGTTGCCCTCTTGGCCATTTTCATCTGAGTCTAATACTCTAATACTTTAATTGATACTATTTCTTTTAATGTAACTTGAGAAGACAAAGGAGGTGAATGTTTTCATTTAATTTCTTTTCCATTTTTCTCCGTAGTTCCAAAGGTTGAGATTTAGTATATTTTAACAATATATATCATTATATTAAATATAAATAAATTTAATCTGTATCGAAATAAATATTATAACAATATTATTTAACATAATCTGCAATTCGCAAGTTGACTCGCAAACTTCAAGGTCTCGTGTCTGGAATGATGGAGGAGCTCTTGATGAAAATAGAAATATAAATGAACGTGGAGATAAATATGAAGATGAGTTTTAAAAAGATATTTGATATGATGAGTAAATCTAATTTAATTTTTAAATTCAACTACTATGCATACTTCAAATATTTTAATATTAAAGTACCCTCCAAAATTATTTTAAAAAAGAATTCCATCAAATCATGGCTTACCACCATCGGCTCACTGGAAAAGAGAACGGAGAAGACAATGAAGAATAGGGGATCGAAGAGGCATAATGATCTTAGAAAGTTGTTATTGAGGATATAATAGTCATTTAGACATCAATTCCATATAAATATGAAAATTCCATGCTCCTCTCCGGAGACGTCAATTCCGGGGGTGTTTGGCAAAACTAAAACCACGGTTTCAGAATCACTTTTCCGCAAAACGAGGTAACCTCCTCCACATATTTACTTCGTAATCCGTAAAAGCACTTCTGAAACCATGGTTTGGTTTCTATCCAAACACCCCCTCCATCGTTTTTAATGAAATAGGATTATTTATGACAGTCTAATTCATTCATATCAAAACATCTCAAAAGTATGAATTTTAATTCTAATTCCATCTTAATCCCAGTTCATAGTAGTTGTGCAATAGCCATTTATATATCAATTTATAAATCTGATAATTCCAGCATACCAAACGGACTTTCAGAACTTTTCTTTTACCTATTTCTTCTATTACTTTAATATTTGATACTTGATGCTCTTCCTAATAAAATGACATAGAACAAAAAAGCAATAGATGGATGAATTTTTATTTGTTTTTAAGCATACCTTTGAAAATCTTACATGCCGCATTTCTATGGCTTGTTATATTATATAATATTCATTTTTTAAAATATCATTTTACCTTTCCTCCAAAAAAAGAAAAAAAAACTCATGAACATTATCTCTACATTTCTGCTCCTGATTCGTATATTTACAAAAAAAAAAAATTGGAACTTTTTTTTGGTTGGAAAAAAAAAAATCTATACATGAAGAGCAAGTCAAAAATCTACACATGAAGAGGATAATATCCGTATAAAATAAAATAATCTAAAATCTGCAGCAGATTTGATACTAATCCGTCTTACCAACCGAAAAGAGGGAATTAATTAAAAATCTTAACTCTAAATCTAAAATCTAAGATCCAAAAGAAATTCAAACAAACGAACGAAATATTCAAATAATACAAAAATTTGTTCGAAAAATTTACTCAACAAAACTGTTTTAAAAACGTAAAAAATACAAAAGTAAAATATACCAGCCCTAAATTCCCTTGAAAAAAGGGGAAAATCAGATAAGAGATCCATATACCGCCCTTAGCCCTATGTCCACTTCCCTTTTTTTTTTATGGGCCCGATTTAGCCCAATGTCCGCTTCTATTTCTCTTTTATGGGCCCAACTTAGCCCAATGTCAATTTCGCATTCTATCTCTGATATAACCCTCTGTCCTCAGATATAACCCTATCGTCCGCGACATTCATATTGTAGGGTTTCTCGCAGCAACAGGCGAAGACAGGGCAATCTCCAGCAGCCGCAATGGTTCTCAAGTCAGTTCCAATTTTCCCTTGCTTTTCTTATCTCATCTCTCGGATATGTGCGCGCGCTATGCATAATCAGGAGATTTTGCTGAACCATGATCTCTAGGAATACTGTTATCTGAAATTCTTCTCTCGTTTTTCGTCCCTCGTTTTGAAAATTTTTGTAGAAAAATAGATTCCAGATGAACTCATTTCTGAAACTTAGTGCAATACTCTCGATCGAGCATTATGGAAAATGTATAGTCATGTGTGAACATGCTCGTATTTACTTGGGATCTAAAACATCTTTTGTTAGAAACACTGGAAATGAAAAATTGAATTATCGACCACTTCTTTCCCTGTGAAAAATTAGTCTGTTAAAAGATTAGTTCTCAACATTTAGAAAATTTTGATCCATCCAGCTCGATCCATTGCAAATTCCTGTGTTTTCTGTTTTCCCAAGCTACGAGCAGGTCCATACGCGATAGGCATTGAAGAGATGACAATAATTACTTCACTTGCCAATCATGCCTCTCTGCTGTTTTGATAAAAAAAAGAGTTCGTGCTTTGAACTGTGATTGTTGTGGTTATTATCTGTTTATCCATGATGAGTTGATTTTGATTGAACGGTACTGCTATTATTGCACAACTCAGTATTACTTGCCGAGTATAATTGCAAACCAAGCATCATTTTATTTTATTTTTCCCATCATAATAAGAACATGCAATCATTTTTCTGATTATTGTAACTGGTATTTGATGTTGGCTTATCAGGACGGAGCTCTGTCGATTTAGTGGGGGCAAGATCTACCCTGGGAAAGGCATCAGATTCGTTCGATCTGATTCTCAGGTGACTTCAGTAGGATCAATCTTCCATTTTCAGGGCTCATATGATGACCTATTGTTCACTAAATGGGTTCCTTTTATATTTTTATCAGGTCTTTCTGTTTGCAAACTCAAAATGCAAAAGGTACTTCCACAACAGGTTGAAGCCGTCAAAGCTCACCTGGACTGCCATGTACAGGAAACAGCATAAGAAGGTATTGCTATCATCAAAATTACCGTTACTTTTACTCAACCTTTTAACTTATAGCAATCCCACGTATTAAATTTCCTTGATTCTAAAAGAATTCAAAATATCTAAATAAAACATGTATAAATCTAAGATCATAAAAAATTATTGGTTTCTACATAGGTGACTTCTTGCTTGTGTTGAATGTTTACTGCACTGAGAAATCAGAATTAAGCACATAAACGAAATGTGTGTATTTGCTTATTGTATTGTGAAACTGTTTGAAATGTCTGATCTCTCATTGATTTAATGCATGATTCTTGCTTGTGCATGTGGTGTGTGCAGGACATTGCCCAAGAAGCTGTTAAGAAGAGGCGTCGCGCCACCAAAAAGCCGTACTCAAGGTCTATTGTCGGTGCTACTCTGGAAGTGATCCAGAAGAAGAGAACCGAGAAACCAGAGGTCAGAGATGCTGCCAGAGAAGCTGCCCTTCGGTGTGTATCCCTTGCTCCTCACTGAGACTTTTGTTTTCATTGGATGGCATAAAGTTACGTTGCCATATATCTTCTAATTATCTGAATGTGTAATGCAGTGAGATTAAAGAAAGAATCAAGAAGACAAAGGACGAGAAGAAAGCGAAGAAGGCCGAAGTGATGGCCAAGGCACAAAAAGCACAAGGGAAAGGAAATGTTCCCAAGGGTGCTGCCCCTAAAGGTCCCAAGCTTGGGGGAGGTGGTGGAAAGCGCTAATTTTTTTTTTTGTCTGTTTCTTTTTTTCTTTTTTGGCTGCCACTTGGAGGATTTTGAGACATATTTGATGTTATATTTCATTGAGTTTAATTTGAATGGAGCTTATGTGGATTTTTATAATAGATGCTCATTATGGTAATTGTGAAGTAGCTTTTGTTCAATATGAATTACTGAACAACGCAGGGCGGCGTATCTAACAAGATAATTTTTCTAATTATATGGTACTCAATATTTTTCTGATCCTTCGATAAAAATATTCATTCTAGTGAATAAAGATTTCTTTTCAACAAATTTTTTGAGTAAGAAAAGTGTAAATTATTGTAACACATGTTAATGTACATTTAAAGCTCGTAGCTCCCCACAATATTTACTAGGCACATTTATTTGTCATTTTTTGCCATTTTCATCTGTCACTTTAATGCTCGATTGACACTATTTCTTATGATATAACTTGAGAAGACGGGGGAGATAAATGTCTTCATTTCGTTTCTTCTCTGCTTTCCTCCATTTACTATTTTTAATCGAATTAACAAATTATATTCTTGAAAATTTATAATACCTGATTCGTTTAAAAATGGGTTGTGTATAATATTATAAGATTTGAATATATTTAATTAATGAGATTTGAATAATGTTTTGATTAGAATTTTGATATATTGAGTTAAATAAGAAATATCATTATTAAATGAATTTTTAATTGGAGGCTCAAATGAAGAAACTAATAATTAATTTTTAATTTGAATAATATCTTAATTGAGATTTGAATATATTGAATTAACTAGAAAGTATTGTAATTAAATAGTACATTAATTGAGGGCCTAAATAGATAAATAAATAAATAATTTTAGATTTTCATTTTTTTTTTAAATTTCGCATATCTAATTCAAATCTCATTTGAATGAATAAGAAAATCATAGTTATATAAGAAGTGAACAATAATTAGAATTTAAAATCTAATCAAATATTCTAGTCCATGATTTAGTTAATATTTCTAGTTAATATTCAAAGGTTGATTTAGTATATTACAACAATATATATTACTATATTAAATAATAAATATATAAAAATAAATTTAACCTATATATAAATAAATATTATAATAATATTATAATATTATCATAATTACACCGTAGATGATGATAAATTAAAAAAATAAAAAATAAATGATATATGCATACTAATTTTGAACTGCTTAAATATATATTTGCTGCTTAATATTATAATAATACTAATATAATATATTAAATCTGCCAGAAGATGATAGGCGTTTGAATTTTACAAATTGGAAGTGACATTAGATCTCATGTATTTGCATGAAGCTCTAAACAGGACCCGATGTTCAGAATTTGCGAACAGTGCACTTCTCCAATTTTTTTTTTTTAAATTTTAAATTGATTGATACTGATATTAATTATTCTATAAAAGAAGTAATTATTCAACACAACCGTTTACCAGAGTTTTTCTGCATTTTACAATAACCAGACCAATTTATTTTTCAGTCTGCATTTCCATGACTATCAAGTTTCAGTGCAAATGAATAAATGAAATACCATGTCATACATAATAATTAATTTTGCTTCTGCATAATACAAACAGGTAGACTAAATTAACCCGCAACCGTTTTAACAAACACAATATCAGTGCACCAGACACAGCTACAGATAGTAAACACCATTGAGTACGCTGAACAATTATGTGAAACAAACCCACAGAGCTTAGCAGGAAGTAAGAACTACAAAATGCCTTTCTGGGGTTTCATTTTCCAGTGAACAACCCTAATTCCCTTATTGCCTGAAGCTTCTTCCTCTGCCTTCACAGTAGTTGCACAACAAGTTAGTTGTTCTAGTGTCATTGCAAAACTGGTTTTCTCCTGCTGATCTTGCTACTCTGCTGCCTCTGCTTAATGATAAAGACGATAGTGCAAGTTTCTCACCTCCAATCTTCACCTGCACACTAGCAAAGAAAAGAGAAACTCGTTGTTTACTGGGTCTACGTCATATTGGGTCCTTATCAGTTTAGTATTTCATTAAACAGATTATGCTTTCAGATACTAAGGTGGTGTAAAATAGCTCTTCATTATTAGAGAAAGGAGGGAAGTTCCATGTTTTACCTCATCTACAAGCTTGAATAGGTCTTGGATGTGCAAAGGATGATTTGTTTCTCATGTGAGTTTCACATTTGGGTATTGGTGTTACTGATTCAAAAGCTTCCACTAGCAGTGCCACCTTCCTCTTCCTTGCAGGAGCAAGTTTTGTGACAGTTTGTCTTAGAGCATAATCAAGCATCCATTCCTCTGCATTTTTCCTCTCATCCATCATCTGGTGCTTCAGATCAACCTTTTCTGCTTCTGGGTCTGGAACCAAAGGCAGGAAATTTGGCTCCCGAGGGTTGAACTTCCTCATTTCATCCTCCTCTTGAACCGCTCTCTTGCGCCTCTCAGCCCCTTTCCAATTATTGCTTGGGCCCTTCTCTTCGCCACCTGTGCTGCTTGAGCTCTCTAAGTTATCTTCTTCACTAATATCTTGGCTTGAGTTCTCTTTTTCACTGACCTTATCAGCCTCACAAGATTCACTCACCTTCTGGCCTTGGCTACTTTCAACCTCTGAAGATTCACAGCCATCCTGGGAGGCATCAGAAACATAATTTCCAACTATTTCTTCCTGGAAATCCGCATTATCTTCCTCTTCCATTTTATTATTAGTCTCAGCAATAAGTGGTTCTTCCACCGGGGCAAAATGATTCTCAGCAACATCTTCCTCAGTCTCAAACTGATTTAATTCATAGCATTCCCGTGAAGCATCTGAAATTCGGTCAGCCTGTGACATACTCGAATCATCTTGTTGGAGAGGCGTATTTTCCTGTTCATCTAAGGTATCGGTATGTACTGTAGTGATGCAATCTGCCCCATCGGACTCCAGTTCCAGAACTTCATTGTTCGTCAAATTCTCTGCCTCTGAAACATCATTGCTTTCCAGAATCTGCTCACCTGTTTCTTCTTGTTCTTCAAATGTCTTTGAGAAGTTTGAAGAGTGCACTGTGGCATCCATGACTGTTTCATTTTCTCCGCTATTTCCTCCTTGAGTCTCCAAGCTATCATCTGTCCTTTCCATGCCACAATGGATCCCATGATGTTGTGATTCAAAATAGATACTTTCTGTGGCATTAGATTCTTGGGAAACTTCAGCTACAACGTTTTCATAGTAGGTTTTAATGATGTCATCTAACCACATCACAGAAACATCATGTGAACTCTCAGATGATGATTCAACTTTTGAGTCATTCTCCTCTGTGAGAACTGGAGAATCAGCATCATCCTCTTCATGCTCCCACTCCATATCAGTAGCTACAGAAGTAGAACCATCCACTCCCCCCTCACTACAGTAACTTCCAATGCTTATTTCTTCACCAGACCAGATAGGTAAATGCTTTTCATCTGCAAATTCGGCTTCTTGTTCTTGAATGAAGCTCCCCTTCGAATCTGCTTTGATTTTAGCATCATCAAAGTACTTTCCATAATCTTCCTCAGAATCTATCTCAGACTTTGGAGATCCATCAGACACGCTTGCAACAACTTGCTTCATATCATCATCCGTTGTGGACTTGATGTTCTCTTCACCCCCAAGCCTCTTGGTGGAGCCCATTTGTCCGATTTCTTCTTCATCCCCATTTTTCTTAGCATAGATTTCGATGAAGAAATCCATGTCAGCTTCAGATTCCTTCTTTGGCTCACAGGGTACCTTCAACTTCCGAGGACTTAAGGCTTCCAGCTTCATACTCTTCTGGGTCTTCATAATACGTCTCCTTGCAGACAAGAAGCTCTTCAATGGAGGCATAGAAGCATGACGATGACCATTCAGAGAACAATAGGTGTATGGGCAAACCTTCCTAACTGAAGTCCCTTCAGACTCAGTAGCCCCAGGATTAAGCATGAGGTAAGGAGGAAACTTTGAGTCCTTCAAAGTTGAAGAACAGGTAGCTCTCTGAGCATTCAAATCAGCACAAAGAGAAACTCTAGAGGATTTCTTAAAACTTGGAGTCTTCGTTAAGGTTCTCACAAGCTTCAAATTAGGCGATGATTTTGTCAAAGCTTTTGCAGGTTTCTTAGCAGAAACAGAGCTAGACTTTGAGTTACACTTAGCGTTTCCAATACTCACAGGAAAAAGCTCCTTCTTGGCATCCGAACTGCTTGTGGGCTTCATGTAATTGGGAGACCCATCGCTTTTTCTGATCAAAGGTGTCTGCTTCTGTGGGGAAGACGATGATACAGGAGGATGAACTTGAACAAAAGGAGGAGGCTTTCCTGGCTGAGAGAAGCTCTTCTTTGAAGGTGTTGATTTGAGAATCTCCATGTCAGAAAGCTTAATTGACCTGGACTTCTTCATTTTCTTCTTCATATCAGCTCCTCCTCTGGTTTTGCCATCTTGGCTCAAGTTTGCCAAGCGCTTATCAGATTTAACATGGTGATCTGCTTGAACGCCAAGCTTGCTGGGTACCTTCCTTTGAACCATATTCAAAGGAAGCTAAAGTCAAAAACTGTGTTCCTTCCTCTGATTTGTGGAGTTCAATCACAGGAAGAAACGCAACCTTGTGGTAGCTTTAGTTTTCCTCATATGGAGGAAGATTGCATTGAAAAGGAAAAAAGGAGGAGAAGAAGAAGAGGAGGAAGAAGGAAAGCTTGAGTCCCAAACAACCAGAGAGATTCCTCTCTATCTGTCCCTTGGTTTGGTTTGGTTTGGTTTAGTGCGGAGTGGGTTTCTTCCTTTTTGTCTATTTTCAACTGTGGTGCTCGGCAGATGATGAACTTTTATTTATTTATTTATTTTTATTGAATAAGGCTGAGTTTAGCATTTGATGGTGATGCGGACCAGCACTTGCAGGTGGTTTTTGGGACCCTTTTACTGGAGAAAATTATTAAGGGCTCACATGATATAAATATATATATTTATATATATAGAACATAAAGTATCTTTAAAATATAATTATTTTTAAATTTATATTTATCCTTAGTTTTTTGGAAAAATTATATTATACTTAAAAAAATATAAAGTTATGATAAATTTTTAAAATTATTCATAAATTTAATGATAAATCTAATCTCTAGAAGGAATTAAAAATATAAAATGACCACTTCAGATTTTTTTTTGTTTAAATTTATTGTGTTTTTGAGCATTTTTGGGCAGAAGATAATTATTAGCTTATACGAGATGGGAATTTTTCATAGGCTTAGTGCGTGGCTTGTTTCTTATATTCAAAGCATAAAATTTGAGATGATTTGATTCCCCAACTCATCCCCTATCAAAATGACCAAACTACCCTCCTCCTTGATTTGGATAATAAGCAAGACAAAGCTTCTATTGCCGAAATTCCAATGCTTCCAATATTGTTTTTATTTTCAATCAATTTACATAATATTAATAATAAATAGCTAGGTTGTTTGGCTGTTTTAGTTGGGGAAATAGAAGTTGAAGGTTTGTAGATAGGTTGGTTTAGAAATGAGAGACGAAGACTTGAATGTCCATAAATTGACTTGAATAAGCTTTTCATTGTCAATCAAGTTTTTTGGATGATGTTCATTATCAGGTATTATGGGTATTCAAAGTTGATGAACTAATTTGATTGGGTCGGCATAAATTGAATCAAATCTATCAAAGAGTAAAGTTAAAATTGATTTTTCATGTATTAAAACCCATTTAATTGACTTGATTTGTTCTAACTAATTTGCAAACCTTTCTTTAAAAAGATGCTTTAAGAATATAACGTTTTTACAGAAATTTCAGGCATTAAAACTAACTTAATTGATTTGATTGTGGATCTAACCAATTTGTGAACTTTTCTTTCTTGTTGTTTTTAAAAAAAAAAATAAGATGACTATAAATCTTTTACAAATTCTTTTGCCAACCTATTTTTTAAACAAACAATATTTTTAAAAAAATAAATATCATAAAATGACTAAAAAAAAGGTAAATTAAAAGAAATGAGTGAGAAACCATTGAAGTATTGATTAAGTGAAAATTGTAAATCTCTCTTTAGCAAGGGTCTGATTAAACATTTTGAAATTATTTCAACCTATGCTTAGAATCTAATCCTTTAAAATTGAAATACTATCCTGCTTATATTTATTAGTTACTTCTAATTGCTTTATCAGAATTAAGAAAAATCTTAATTTTTTTAATTGTGTCTTAAAATTTAACAACTTTTTTAATTTTATTCCTATTGAATCTATATACTTGCCAACAAAATGACAATCAACACAATAATAATTAAAGGATAAAATAATATGTTCATGTTAAAAATTTAATGATGTGACATATAAATGTGATTTAAAAATATTTTTCTTCATTTTATAAATGGGACTAACGGAACATAGAAATCAATGATCTCTCTAAAAAATAATTAACAAAAACTTAAAACTAAATAAATCATTTGTTTTATAAAAATCAATGAAATGAGATGGATGTGAGATTTCAATTTATAAATAAATTTAATTAAACACATGATCATGACTGATGGCTACATGTCATTTTTCAATAAATCTTAAGAGGAGCACAAGTAACAAAACAATCTATAAAGAAGGGGATTTCATGGGAGAGAGGACATATTTAAGGAAGACAAGGCTAATATTGTGATTTCACATTAGAAAACAGAACCGTTTGGATTCACAATTGAGAGCGCCTCATGTACGTTTGTAACTTTGAATATATTAAGAAACAAACGTGTGCGGATGGATGAGACTTGGGAGGTGAGAGAGAGAGAGAGAGAGAGGGAGAGGGAGGGAGAGGGAGGGAGAGGGCGGTCCCTTTAAAAAGTAGTGAGAGGATAAAGACAAAAGCCACTGGTCGGCAAACATGGGCTGATGTGGGCCCTACCTTGGGCCTTGAGTCCACAGACGCTCCTCTTAAAGTTTCAAAAACAGATGGAAAGAGGAAAAAAAAATTTCATAAAGTAACCTTTAAAAAATCATAAAGTAACCTTAAAATGGAAAATAAAAAAATTGCCTTGGACTAAGGATCCCCCCACCTTAGGACAGCTCTTATGAACTAGTTGCAAAATTATTCGTTAAAATTTATAGGCCTTAGATTAACAGAGGATCTCTTTCAATAAAGATGACAAGGGTTTTTCATCGTTGGGATGAGATTCAAATCGTTTAGATTTAGTATGGATGGTTTAAAGATTTTAATTTGTGATTTGTCAAATAATAAATTTATCTCTTTTTTGAAAAATAAAAATCATAAGATTACTTTCATTTTAAATTCTACGTTTGTTAAAATAAAAAAAGTTATTTAAAGTATAATAATTAGATTAGGTATGTACCGTTCAAGATCAATTCAAATGGTTTAGTTGGAAGATGAGCTAAGTCATGAGTATGAAATATGCTTCCAATGACAATAGGAAATTTAATTCGTAATTTCTAAGTGATAAATCTATTTTGTTTTCTTTTGAAAGAGGGCAATAATGATAAGATTATTTTCACTTTAGATATTACACTTGTTAAAATAAAAGGTTACTTTGCATAATGGATGGATAAGTTTGATAGATCTCAATAATTATTTGGACAATTATAATGAGATTTTAAAAAAATAAAATAATTACAAAATAAGTCTCGGAAGTTGTCATTCTCTATTATAGACTGCTTAGGTTGTTATTGAAGCTTTTTAGTAATTATTTTTCTTCTTTGAGACTTAATTATAATTCTCTCTGATTTATCCTTACCCATGTGGACAAAACTTAATTTTGTTCTTGCACGAGTCATCCAAGTTTCAATTCTCCCTTTTAAAAATAGTTTTGGTTTATTTTATGTTGAAACTTTGTTATTACGGGGCAATTCAATATTATGGAAAATTGTTAGGATAATATTAAAAAAGAACGTGAGAATTACGTTAGAAGCAAAAGATATTTAAGTCCGCTGAAATAAAGTTTAATAAAGTTTTAGGGTCATACTTTGACAATTGTTTTTGGACAAACACCACCGACCCCAGCGTACTTTAAGGGCAATAAAAAGAGACGACAGACCAGCTGAGCGCGAAATCGTAAATATTAAGCGAACAATATATCTGTGTGTGTGTGTATTGAAATAATAAGGTCAATGAAGCTTTTGAAAATTATTTAGAATTGTTTTCAAAAATGCTAATTTTGGGATGAACATTGTGGAAGTCCGACTCGATGTTGTCTGAAGGGGGAAAAAGAAAATTTAAGAGGAAAAAACATACAATAAAAAAATGGACTGGGGTGGGTCAAGAGTCAATGGATTAAGCTGAGGTCAAATTGACCATATTAAAATAATAAAATTTAATTGATAATAATAAAATATAACAACATTCATAAATAATAATCACCTGATAAAATATAAAAAATTACTAAAGTAATTTAAATGTTTAATTGTACCAAACCAACATTAATAGAGAGTGTTGAGATATTATATATTTGATTCTATATATAATTATGTATTATATAATGTTTGATTATGTTAAATTAGTTGAAATCATATATATTAATCGGTTAAAACTCAAAATATTATATCTGATATTATTTATTTGTGTGTGTATATAATATTTTAATTAAAACATATAAAAACATTTATATTTGATTATAAAAGTAATATTTAATCTTATTTAGTGTACACAATGTAGCGTTCCCTGTAGCGAAGAACCTAAAACGTGACGTTTCAGTTAAGTACCATCGCCGTGGCCACAGAGACTAGTCAAAAATTTTAAATGAGGTTTAGGGATTCGTGCTATCACTTTTGTTATTTTATTAAGTGGAAGAGTTTTGCTTTGTTAGGGTTCCTTAAGGTAACTCTTAGAGAAGTTTGTGAGGTTTGGGAGTAATGATAAGCCATCTTGATTCCTTTGTGTATGTTTTCCTACTCTACTCCTCCTCATTCTCTTTCCCTAACTAGGGTATTGCTCTCTCTATGATGAACCCTTAACAATTCTCTAACTCTTTGATGCAATTTGACTCAGAGTAACGGTAGATGTTCGTGAGGACGTCAAAGTGTGTTTTGGGTGATTCTTGCAACTGCTTAGGGAATCCAAGTAACAGAAACTCTTTCTTGTTTATCCTACTAGTTTCTCTGAGGAGTCATTAACTTAGGCATAACTCATAAGGTAAGCTGTAAACAAACTAGAATAAGAAAAAAACGAAAAAATTGTTAAAATCATATATAGTATCTGGTAAATAATTAGTATGGTGAACTATCTCAAAAGTAATGAAGTTTTTGAGATTCTAGGATTGAATATAAGCCCTAAACATAGGATTTTTGAACTTTTCTCTCATTGGTTGTGATGTGCGAGTGTTGTCATGGTGAAGAATTGTGTTGCCATGGCGAGGTACTCTCTCACTACAGCAACAAGTACTATCATAATAAAAGGTCTTTCTACAAAATCTACTCATATCCCTTCTATCTAGAAGGAGATATTAAAAAGAAGGAAAAAAGAAAAAGAAAAAGAAGGGGAGTAGATTTGATTATTTGCAGTAAAAGGATAATTGATTGTAATTTTTTCCAAAATTCAGAAGGGGCAGAGATGTGGCATAGCATTGATGAAATGGGGCCCTCAGCTGTAATGTTTACCTAAAATGAAAAAAGAAGAAAGTTGAACTGGTTCACCCTCTCAGTCAGCCAGCCTAAACGAGTTTAAAAAATGCAGCATATGAGTAGCATATGGGCAATTTGTTTTACTATTTATAGTATTTCGATAAAAATGTCACCAATGATCTCCTCTTCTCCCGCCCTTTCTTCTTCAACTCATTTCTTTTACCATACCGGAAGCTTGCCATGCATTGCAGCCCTTCTTTTTCCGCCTTCCCTCTTTTGAAAGCTCCAAGATCATTAGATGTTGAGTTGAAGCAATTCAAAGTGTCACAGAAGTTCCATTTTTGAGACTCTCTTTCCATGGCGTCGTTCCTTTTTTTTAAGTTTTGCTAAAATCCATGGTGTCGTTCGAGGGATAAAGCTTACATCAATATAGTGGCAATAATACCTAGATGAGATGAAAAGCAAGAGGCAGCGAATGATAGATGATGAGGAAAGGAACTGGAAAGGAGAAAAGAAAGAGAAACACAATGGAAATGTGATTTCACTTTGGTCGAGGCTTTATTTGTTTCAAAGCCAGCCGTGGCAACAATGGTGGTCGAAGGCTTGCGTCGCATGGACTCAGTGAGAGAGTTCATCTGAGTAAGAGCAAGGTGAAATTGCCTTCGTCGTGTCAGTGACAATGAACATTAATGGTCGAATTTGTTCCGCTTCACTTGTTTTCGAGCTAAACAAACATTCAAGCTGCTGCATTTAAAATATCCTCATGCTGAGATCACACAACACAACATGCTCAATTAACTTATAATGGGGAAATGAAAATAAAATGTTCTAAAAATTGGTAAATGACAAATAGTGGTGGGTAAATTTTAAAATCATGAATCAAACCTCTTATACTATTTTGAACTTTCTTAAATATTACGAAATAATGCAAACGCCCTGCACTTTTTTCTTCATGAATGCTCTGCACTAGTCACCCCTCCAGTGCCCAGCCATAAGAGCTTTGACAACTGGTCACCAAAGCTATGAGAACTACTCTTGTTTAAATATTAGTTACTCTTATTTAGCTATTAACTATATTTGTTTTTAGATATCTGACAATCACTCGTTTAGTTATTGATTATTCTTGTATCTCAATTGATTACTTTTGCTTCTAAAAATTGGTAACTATTCTTATTTAGCTATTACTTACTCCAGTTTTGTTGTTGCCTACTTTTATTTCAATTCAAAACATGTATTAGATGTTGTCAGAGATCCCATGACCACTTCACTATATAAGAATAGTCATCAGAATTCTAAAACATCTATATAATTTACCCACAATTCTTAGCTCTAACACTTGTGGTGATCACTTGTATACCTATATGTCCATGATTCTGATACATGAACAATAAAAAAGGAATGAAAAAAATTCCAGCTGCAAAAATGAAAAAAATTTCAATATGAAAGTTCATTGAAAACTTCTCCATACTCAGAACTTTGATCTTGGGAGAGCATGAAATGAAAAAATAAAACTAAAACAGTATTTTCTTCAAATATTAATAGCTATAGTGAGGTACTACCTCTGGTACTTAATATAAAAGCCAGTTGACTAATCTTAGTAGATTAAAAAAACTAGTTAAATTAGTTATTTGTAACAAATAGATGTTATTTTTTCTAAAATATCATTGCTCATCAAGTGTGTTAGCTAAAACTATTATTATTAAGAGAATTACTTTGAGAAAAAATAGATAAATATGAGAGACAAAGGTTATTGGGATCTTATATTTAGAATCAAAATAAAAATCAAACAAGATCTTATATTAAAAACCGGAGGTAGTAACATCCAAGACAGCCAAAATACTTGTCCCGAGAAAAACAAAAGGCATTTTGACAGCAACATGCACACTATCGAATCTTTAATACTTCTTGCATGTTATAGGGGACAAAAAATTATCTCCATGGATAAGGACGGGATTCGGAAATCTAGACCCTTCCTTTGATTGCACGAAAAAGTAACACAGGCCAACTTTTATAACTAAATGATATGGAAAACAGTTGCTTCCATTATTGAATATTTGGCTTCAACAATGGCTTCCCAAAAATAAGCTGAAATTAACTGAAGGAGGTACCTCTAACTTCAATAGAAAAATTTGTAAACCTCCTTTTGAACATATTTGAACAGCTATATTCAATCATCATGAAGAAAATTACCGATGAGGAATCCAGAGGATCAAGCCATCCTCCTTCTGATATAAAGGGGATGATGGCAGGAGTTAGCTAGAGTTTGGACTGTTTGGTCTTTTGCACTAGTTTCAGTTTCTGTTCAAAAAAAAATCCAGAGGATCATGTTAGTCCTTTGGTTTTTCCCACGTGAGCTTCCAAACATGTGAATGCAAGTGAAAAGCATATATCAATTTAAGCCCACACCTTTATCTAAGGTTATCAAATTCTCGAGTTTAGACAAACTCATAATAATGATGTAAATTCGGATCATAAACTCGAATCGTGAACTTATAAGAGTTTATTTTTGTTAATAAATTGATATTAAAAGTATATAATTAAATAATTAATATATAAAAAACTGAGAATAATTTTATTTAAATATATTTTAAATTTAAATAATTGAAATTATATCTATCAATGTTCATAATTTATCATATTCAACAAAAAAATTTCTATAAAAATCATATATAAAGTCACTAAACATAATCAAATTAAGAAATTTAACATGAGTTTAAGAGTGAGTTGACACGATTTTGTAAACTAAAAACATAAAAACAGTAAACTCGGTAAATGAATTCACAAGTTTAATCGAGTTTACAGTTATCACGAGTTTAAGAATGAGTCGACACGATTTTATTAGCTGAAAATGTAAAAACGTTAAACTCGGAGAATCAACTCATGAGTTTGACAACAATACCTTTATCATTATATTCCTGTTGGCTACAATGAAAATAAACATGACAAGAACATCAAAACATCAAATCACATAAGCAATGAAAATAAACATCATTGGATGCGAGAGGACCTGGAAACAACCCTTCCATAACACGACCTTGTCACACATAGAACCTTGCAGAGTGCTTGAATGGTGGGTAAATTATATGGATGTTTCAGAGTTAAGGGTGAACTGAAATTTGAATTTCAATTTCAATTTTCGCGTCAGGATTCAGGAAGGATTTTTTTTTTTTGGCGATACAGCTCGTGTCCAGTAATTTCAGTTTGGAGTCGGTGTTAACCTGTTTTTGTTGGCAGCTTGATGGCAGAGCTATTGATTATATATTGATATTGATAATATTGATTTGCAAACCCCAAATAAATACTTGCAAAATCACTAAATTTGGTGTATTTTATTAGAATTTTTCTAAATAATTTTTAAATTATTTTGCTACACATGACAAACGTAAAATTAGTTAAAATTTGAATATAAATAATTAATTTATAAATTATATTAGTATCCTTCCACTGTAAACAATCTATTTAAAGCTTTGTTCGACATTAAATGTAAATACTTTTTTAAACAGATATTCAATTTAGATGCAAAATAGAGGTAAAAAAAACTAATTATAATATGTATGGGCTTTTGATAGTTCCTGTTAATTTTGTGTTTCTTTGAACACACCCCCCCCCCCCGGCCCGGGGGTTCTACAACAGGTGCCATCTCATATGCTTTGATCAAATTAGCTATATCTCGGGCGAAGCTCGGTTAAGGAAATCGAATTCTATTCTATTAATAGTGAAAGGATCAATTATAATTTAAAAAAATAGTTCAAATTAATTGTTCCTACAAATTTTGATGGGACTCTCCCACTACAATGAATTACCATTAATGAAGGTTTAAAAAAATGCTGGCAACAATTTTAAGTTAGATCTCTATCAGCCAGCTTCAATAAACTCCCCCATAAATTCCGCTTCACCTGCAAATGAGTTTTAATAATTATAATCATAAATATAACGAATTAAATTAAATAAAGAAAAAGGACCCGCAAATCAGATTTTAAGTAATTATTTACGAAAATTTCACAATATCCCAACTTAAAGGAATCCATTTCACGAAAATAATTATAGTTTGGAGTAATTAGTTGTATTTTTCCTTGTTCTGTCAAATCCTTACCTGGAAAATAATAAGATGAAGATCACAGTCTTCAATACAGCAAATATAGAAACATTCAAACCAGCAGCAGCTGAGGTTGACCTGCACATAAAAGGTAGCTTAATAAGTAATACACAAGCCTAATAACATGAACGATGCTCTATCTAAATTTCCATAAATGTTCACTGTAAGACTAGAACAGCATAACATTTATGCACAACCGAATCAAAACTGTAAGAGTCAAAAGATTAACGTTTCCTAGCTAATTTTCCCCAAAACCTTTTTCCTTCAAAGAAAGAAAAAGTAAAAATGAAAATCCCAACTTAAGTCACAACAAAATAATAAGATTAACAGTTAAACCGTCATCATAAAGAGAGAGAATACTTTAATATGCATGCCTTTTTATGGCCTTTTGAAGTTTACCTTGCTACGAGATCCTTAACAGATTCAGTTGTTAGTCCAAAACCAAAAGGATAAAGTGGATCATAGTGAGGATCTCCTACATTCATTGGGAGTTGATCCACCGATTTGAACCATGTTCTTGGAAGCTTCCCACTGAATCCATATTCACCAAAAAGGACATCTGTCACACCCTGACCCTCTGTGCCAGGTAACCATGCTGCCACAAGCGCATCTATCGAGGACACATAGGGTTCAATAACAATAGGCCTGCCAGAAACAACGATAACCACGCATTTAACATTCTCACAAACATTCTTGATGATATCAGGGCCAGGATCGACCATTGTAAGTGTTGTGCTGTCCCCAGCAGTCTCAGCATAAGGAGGCTCGCCAACAACAACAATGGCATATTCAAAGTCGCTGGACTTGACAAAATCACTATCAGGGGTCTCACGATAGACAACTTCTGTGTTAGGATCAACTTCCATTTTTATAGCACCAAGAATAGTTGTTCCTGTCCACGAAAACGAAATCCGTCAGTTTGTTTCCATTTTAGCTTACTTCCATGGGAAATGATTTCGGCTGTCTACCAAACGTCTCCAGCCAGGAATGACAACACCAAAAAATAACACAGAAAAATTACCTGGAAATGAGAACAAAAACAAGATAAAAAAAGAAACCTATATTCAGTTAGAGTTAGAGCAGAAACAAGATGAAGACAAAACCTAGGTTTGATTGGAGTGAACATGCCTACCGATGCAGTATATTAAGATATTTTGTTTTAGATTGAATGTGCATTGAACTAAAGGGGGGCATAAACTGACAAGATGAACGTCTCATGGAAGTCTATCTGCCGTTATTAAGCACAGCTAACATTATAGCAACTAAGGAATTAAGCAACAGCTACTTCTGTTTACCTCATAGGAACGCATTTACCTACCATTATTCATCCGAGACCATGCAATCAATATAGCATCTAATCTAGTGATAATCATTAATTAGAGTCTCTGCACTGCTGCAGGATTCTGTACAATTCAAAATTTTCAAATTAATTAAAGAATGCCTGTTTATTATTTCTCCAGCATATAATATCAATTGGTGCATGCAGGGGCCAGAAGCGCATAAGCTGTGATGCATCCACCATATATGCATTAGGCATGTTTGAGAGTTACTTACCCCTCGTGTCCTCGTTGCCATTAAATCCTTGCCATTTGATTGTCCACCCACCACACTGATACCCCAAATTATCAGCATGAGTACCAGCAACTAGGACTTTTGAGGCTTTCTTAGGGAGAGGAAGGAGTGGAGTACTCCCATTTTTTCCATTCTTAAGCAGCACAAGTGATTTTCTCACAGCTTCCCTTGCTAGATCCCTGTGTTCCTGAATGTAAACAATATGGTATATTACATCTCAGGGCTCTTATATTATAAATTACAGCAAACAAGCAATGCCAGTGAAGTTCAATATCAGTTTCATTTTTAAAATGCTTAGGAGGCATTATTAAAAGTTAATGCAGGAAAGTATGACAAAGAAATTGGGACATCATATTTTGCTTCTTTATATAATAGATCTTAAAAATCCAGGTTTATAAAAAGTGTTTTTCTAAAGTGATTGTGATCTGAAAATTTCAGGCAGAAGTGCTTATCTAAAATGGATTGATTGGAAATTTCCTGAACCAAAGATGTTCATTTCGCACCCCAATTGGTCAGGGTAGGTGGATTCTGAGAAAACTGACAAAGGAATATGCAGTTCCCCGTTCCCATCACGTAATCCAAGGGCTAGGCCAAGTAGATCCCCATACCCTGGATTTTATTACTAATCATATATAAATTTGAAATTGCCTGAGCATCCATTGCAAAGAACACTATCATCAAGAATGATGTTCATTACGAAATCAAAGAGAACGTCATTTCACAAGATACTATTCAAATGAACTAAATTGCAAATAAAGTTCATTTCAAATCTTCTATTAGATTGAAAAGTTAGAATGTCTTACCTGTTTCCCAAGCTCATTGACTAAACCGAGATCAGCCAGAGGATTCTCAAACAGACCCATGGTGAATTTCACAAGCAAAATTCTCTCAACAGCATCATTGATACGCTCCATTGGAATGACATTGTTCTTCACTGCAATTGTAAGATCCTGGATGAACTCTGAGTATTTGTATGGGACCATCACCTGCAATGAAAATCAAACACAAGAAACACTAAGTTGTAAAATCCTATGCTACAGTACACATTACATGGTCCATAAGCTACATCCATGCAGAAATCATACTCTCCCCCCTCAATTCTACAAGCAATTTGGACAAAAACTGCAAACCAACCATATCAATGCCAGCTCCAACGGACCCCTCAACAGAATATGAGTAGTTTGAATCAGGTGGTGTTGTGATCTTGTCAATACCTTGCCAATCAGAGATTACAAATCCCTGACAAATAAGAGGAATAGATTTTTGCGGTTAGCATGCAATGTAAACCATGTTTCTTTGTACTTGGCAACTATGAATTTAATTAAACAAAAGACTGGTTTTGTAGCATTCCTGTGGGAGTCAATTGAATGCAATCCATGTAGAAATCACATAGATTCTTCATATAGCTATCATAACAAAGGTTTTGCAATATCTTTTGATACCGCTGAAATTATAACGTGTAGGAATTTGACCCTGACCTCATTAATGACTAGATATTCATATCTGATATTCTCGTTATCTAACTAAGCAAATGTCTGATGTGATCCATGTGGTTTATTTTATTTGAAAAAAATAAGGACCTTTAATTTCCTTATTAAGCTAGCATTTTTTTTTCAAGCTAGCATTTAACTCTGAATCCGTGTAGCTTTTATATTTGCCATATATGCTTGCTTAATCCATGGGATCCAATGGCAGCAGGCTTGTTGCCTGGAACTCCCGCAAACATGTAATTTCTTTAAATACCATTCTTCAATGCTCAACAACAGACTTCAATGGACTCATGGTGAAGGATACCAAAAGCCTTTTCCCTTCAAAAATAAAATATATTGAAAAGCTCAACAGACACTTCATTTCTAGAACTAATATCTAACTAGATGGTGTGCTCTCTGTCATTTGGTGACAATGAGATCATCAAATAAATGTCAAATGAACAGAAAATTTTGGCGGCAGTTTCCATTGTATGGTATAACCGTAATGGTAATTATACCAGGGGGAAAAAGAAGTGCAAAATGTTCATCCATCACCTTAAACTTCAAGGTATCCTTCAAGAAGCCAGTAACCAAGTTACGGTTTGCATGCATCTTCACCCCATTCCAACTGGAGTATGAAACCATGACTGTAGCAACCCCCTTAAGGATGGAATCAGAATAGGCAGGCATGTGAATGCTAAGCAACCCATGCCAATCAATCTCTGTGTTGTTTTCATTGATTCCCTTGGTTGTTCCACCATCTCCAACAAAGTGCTTTGAACAAGCAGCTACCTTTGTCCTAAAACATAGTTAATCATGGTATTACAATTTTTTTTCAAACATTTTTTTTTCAATTTGAACAGTAGAATATGAGGTCATTGAACGAGACCTCCTAATCAACAACATATCTAAGGATTGGGTTGTTGACAGAGCACGATGGCGTCGTGTGATTCATGTAGCCGACCCCACCTAATGGGATAAGGCTTGTTGTTTGTTTGTTTGAACAGTAGAATATGAATGATCAGCAGTGACTGAAATTAACCACAAATATCTCATGTGACTAAAACACCTTGAGAATCTTCATTAAAAGTACAACAACAAAACTTATCCCACCAGGTGGGATGGGCTAGATGAATCGCACAATGCTGTTGTGCTCAATCTTCATCAGAAGTACATAATATAAAATGTGTGACTATAAAACTCCTCTATAATATTGAAATGCATTCTTGTTAAAAGGAATTTAATATCAATAAGTGCATACTTGCCACCAACATATGGAGATCCTTTCCGGAAATTCACAGGGATGTCTCCTTGTAGACCAGGTATGATTGACGTCATTTCTTTTACAATGTTGGGATCCTCACTGTAGCTCTCATAGCATCGACCCCATCTCGGATCCCTACAAACCTATAAGTAGTGTTTCAGGAAAAATAAGTAAAATTAGAAAGAACAAAATGATACGGATTTGAGAAACTTATATGCATAACCAATCTTTTTGTGCACAAGTTTAACATTTTTCGGCATTCAGCTTACAGCAATGCATGGGGCAAAAACATAAGGAATCCCTGTAGCTCTGACTTCCAAAGCAGTTGCAACACCAATCTTATATGCTAGGTTAGGGTCCCTGTCAACAAGAAAATATAAATTATAACAAAGGACAGACAGATACATCAAAGCATCAGCATAAAACAGCACCAAAGATCATTCAAAATTAGACCCAATGATTTGACAGAAAGATTGATATACATAATTATGCACTATTTCTATTAAGTATTGAGGCTGTACAAATTCAAATGCAAATTCAGTTAACTGTAACTCATGCATAAATCATACTCCTTATTATGGAAACACTTTAAAAATTATCACGACAAGACACTAGAGACTAGAGTCATACAAATTATCAACGGGACACACGCTGAAGGATAATCACTCAAAATTTTTAACTTGCCTGGTAGCTCCAAGCCCTATATTATGGGGAAATATGGTGGCATTGTAGACATTATTGTGTCCATGAACAGCATCAATGCCATACATCATTGGAATTCCCAGTCGACTAGCCAAAGCCCCCTTTTGAAATCCATTGATCATATTAACCCAATCTTCAGCAGTAGCTTTTGGCAGTGGTTCACTGCCACCACCACTCAATACACTTCCTGCATAAAATTACGAGCATCTAAAGTTCACAATTGTTTTGAGAGATACATAATCATAGCTTCCAATCACCTGTTCTTATCCACATTTTTGTTTACTTCTTATTCCTGGCTCTCAAATAGATGGTTATATAATTCCATACTTAAAAGGAAATATGAAATTCAAAAATATATCCAAAACCCCGAATACATTAAGTGAAAAATGTAAACGTAATCAAGCAGGAAGGTGGCGTAAATAAATAAGTGCAAAAAGTGAAGTCAAATTGAAGTATAAGGTGGATAAACTAATACAGAAAGCACACCTTTCCCTTTTTCTCCCGGTTACCCATCCCTTGACCACATTTGACTACTTGAAACCATAAAGACAAAAGTGAAAGGGTATGTATTGTGCTTGATTGCTTAAAAACAGGGAGCACTAATAACAGAATATTAAGAGGCGCATGAATTAGGAGTCACCCACCATGTAGGTAAAAAGAAAAAAGGGGGATTCAACATGAAGCTCAAGTACAATTTATTTAACGCAAACAAATTAACTATATTCCCAGGACGGGATGACACAGAAGGTTTTCAGTCAATGGAATATTTGGCCTCAAGGAAAACTTCAAGGGAATAAAAGCATGAGAATGAGAGTTACCAAAGAAGTGGTAATCAAAGAATGTAAGGTATGAGACTCAGTCCCACTTATTTAAATCTGTAATAACAAAACTGATTATATTAATCAGCCATACAAACCCAATCAGACGTGGGTCGCTAGAAGGCATAACAGAGTTCCTTAAAGGTGTATTATATTGAATAATACTTGCACATTTGAGAGGTCCTCACCTATGAAGTTTGTTCTCATAACCCCTTCATTGGCAACACTTCTGTCAATTTGCACCATCTGACCAATCTTTTCCTCGAGCGTCATTCGACTAAGTAAGTCTTTAACTCGAGTCGCCACTGGCTGCTTCGGATCTTTGTACTTCATATACTCAGCTTGGGCTTCGCCAGTTGATGGCGACCAACATAACCATAAAATTGCCAGCAAAGAAAGGAATTCCCTAAACATCTTGAATTCACCAGCTCTCAATCCACCTGCAGAGTAAGAGAAAAACGAGGAAGAAAACGCAGTAAGATTCAATTAGCAGGATTTATAACCGATTGATTACCAAGGAATAAAGCGAAGTAAAAGAGAGGCATCATATCCCATGAAATGGACTTCAAGAAAAAGTTGACCCGCCACTAAATATTTCACTTTAGTACAATAAAAACGCAAATGTGAAAAAGGCGCACGAAGAAGCTACGACGACACGCCGACACCGAAGAAAAAGCATAAATACACGCAATGTCGAGCGAGAACTCTTACAAGGTATGAAAAAGTTGAGATTCTTCTGAAGATTTGCTTCAGAAATCAAAGTTTTGAACCTTTGAAGGTAAAGAAGTCAGGGGCATTGACAGGAAAATAATCGAAGTGGATAGCGGGAATGGCGAGAGGACGACGGAAGCGGAAGCGGAAGCGGACTGACACTATCAGCAAGCTGTTAGTGGGAAGTGGGAAGTCAGAACATGGGGGACTTCTAGAGATATTCAACTTTCAAATTAACGCCACATGTTATTATTAATTAATTAATTAATTAAAATTTAAGTCATTTTTAATAGGGTTATGGTGTAAATTTGTTAATTTTTTTTTCTTAGTTGTGAATTGCTAAGTATTGAGAAAATTTTTTATAAATTTATTCTCTAAGTTCAAAATCGTAATAGTATTATATTTATTGCCAGTAGAAAATAATATTATTATGATTTTAAATATTTAAAAAAATTTGAACCTTACCCCTTTGAATATTATCTTTATTAATTATACTAAACTCTAGTATCACATTAATTTTTATTCTCTAACTATTCTTATTAGATGTGAGCACATGTGAGGAAAAAAAAAATATTTAATGCTTTTTCAAAGCAAAGCAAATTTCTTGGATTAAAAAAACCAAAACACGTGTTAGTTGATGCTTTATAATAAGAAACAAATGGAGTATATAAAAATAAAATAGTAATTTATAAAATAAAATGATAAAATGTAGGAGGTTCAGTTACTCATATCCGTTAAAGAGATTCTAGTCATATTCAACTTCAAAATTAAGATACACACCTATAATATCATAACGGCAAAATATCATATATATATATATATATATATATATAATAATAATACTACCTCCATGCAAGATACCATGGAACGGTGATTGGAACTAATATTTGAAAAGCCAAGCTGAATGTTAAGTTGAAAGAGTCAGCAGTCATGGTGTAAATGATCGGATTGGTTGAATCATCTGGTCAAATGGGTAATAAAATAAGTAAATAAAAATAACATTATATACATATATAATCATATACAACTATTAGCTCAAAAAATATGCAACTAAGAAATATATTATTATTAAAGCTAAGTGTCAAAAAAATACCACAATATGACAAATTATCAACATACTATAAGATAATAAATTCATTTTAAATATACAAATAACATCGAATTATAAATTATTAGTATAAGCTTTCATTAATTAAAATTCACCAAAAATACTAATATATATTTCTTTTCTTTTCTTTTTTTTTGGAAAACATACAGACCTGGGAGGCACCAAATAAAGTAAAAGCATTTGTCGAGATTAAATAATATTTAATATTATTGAATTAGTTTTATAAACTCAATTTTTTGACCACACTGCAACGAAGTTTGATGAGTTTTACCAAAAAAGAAAAACCCGGAACTGAACCAGTTAAGATAGTAAATCAAATGCTAGTATTTGACTGTTATTTTTTATGAAGTATTATAACCTTGGTATTGTTAAATTAAATAATTATGACAAGTTTTATTTATTAAAATTATTTAAAAACAATCTCATTAATCACTTTTTTCCTCATTTTATCCTTATACTCCTCCGGTCCTTAATATAAGACCCATTAAACTAATTTGATTAGATTAAGAAAGTTAGGTAATTAGTTACTTATAAGAAAAGTGACATATTTTTCCTAAAAGACCATAATCATATTTCTTAATATCCATTCCTCCTTTTCTACTTGATTATGGTTGAGAGAGTATTCATAAGGGTAATTTAGAGAAAATTCATAAATATAAGAAATGGGTTTTATATTTACGATCAAAACCAATTCAAGAATTGAGCCCTATATTAAGAACCGGAGGAGTATTATTAAATCAAATAATTTAAAAAGGGACATGTTTTAAAGTAAATTTATCAATCTTGGACAAATTTGATAACTTAACCATCATTCCTTGATATGTCAAAAGTAATTAGAAGTGCCTGTAATGTAAATCAGAGGAAGCAAGTGCTTCATATTTACCTTATCAAAATCACTTTTTTATTTTTTTTCAATCTTAAATTTTCATATGATACACTATCACAAGCAAAATATACATGGAACAACAACTGTTGTTCATAATAAGATGCAACCCATGTACCATAAAAATATGGGCTTGAATTTCACTATTAATATGAGAACTACATTGACAAGTAACATCTAAACACATGTAAATATTCTGAGTATTAAAACTTGCCTGAACTTTAGTAAGTTTCTAAAGCGCAAATCATTATGCCTTTTTATTTCTTAATATCAAAGCGAGTTTGGTATTTAATTTGATTCTAACTATAAGACTACAGTTTATTTTGTTTCTCATATTTATCTACTTTTTCAAGATAGTTATTATAGTAGCTGCACATGTTAAAAGTTTCATCAAATGGTAATTTTAGATAATTCACATGATTAGCAATGGTATCTTAAAAAAAATAATATATGTTTATTATAAATAACTAACTTCACTAATTTTCTTAATATGTTCAAATTAGTTAACTAATTTTTATATTAAAAATCTAGAATAAAAAAGATGCATAAATATGCAATATTTTTTTACCAGAATTTTTTATGGCAAAGGGCAAGACACCGGAGAGACAAATTTAAAGCGACTTTGGACGCCCCGAAGTGGTTTGGGTTGTGGGCTCTCAGAGATTCCTCAACAACGAAGGATTCTTACTTATCAGTTACCACTCATCATAAACCAAGTGGCGCACCTGCCATGCACGTGGCATATCATTCAACCCTTTTCCCTAAAAACAAAAAAAGCAAAAAAGATCAAGATTTCATTAAAGCTTTTAATCATGAGGTTTAAGGACGTACTTACTTTTCGGTGGTTAATTAAATTATCATCAGGTTGAAAATCACCATATTTATCTTTTACCCCACCGTCCTCTCTTGGCATCTTTATTGAATAACTTATAAATTATTATCACTTTGAAAAAATGAAAAAAAAAAAAGCTTCTTCTTATTGAATACATGTCTTTGGACTTTCTAGGATATTCTTTTCATTGGTTAATCATTTGAAATATTTTCTTCAAAAATTTTCAGACGTTTGTTTTTTTGGATGAAATCAACCGTTCAAATTTAATTCTAATAATTTATATTTTATAAGAAAAATTGTTGAGGTTTTTTTAGAGGAAAATTACACATAAGTCCCACACAAGACAATTAATTCATAAAAAGTCCCTGAAAATTCCAAAATGATTCCTAAGTCCTCAGAGACCTGTGTGTAATAAATTGAAATTATGAAATTACCTATTTACCCCTATTAATTTTATTGCAGTAATTTATTTACAACCTCAACAGTAGTTGTTGATAATCCAAGGAAAAGTGGTTAACAACCTCGGCAGTGCCCCTGACAACTCACTCTGTGGGATTCTAGGGGATACTGTCGAGGTTGTTAATTACTTCTCATCAGGTTGTCAACAGCCACTATTAAGGTTGTAAATGAATGAGGGTAAATAGATAATTTCATAATTATAATTTGTTACACACAAGTCCCTGGAGACTTGGGAGTTATTTTAGGATTTCGAGAGACTTTTTGTGAATTAATTGTCTTATATAGGACCTGAGTGTAATTTTCTCTTTTTTTAGTTGCAAAATTTATTACCCAAAAATCCCTAAAGACTCGTGTCCTTGAGCAAATGGGTGCAACTCTTTAATTATATACGACATGTTTTATAAATAATGTGACTTGCTATATTGTATGCTCCCTTCATTCTTAATTGCAAAAAAGTAAGAGAATTTATTCTTATCTTAAATATAAGATATTGATCTACTTTATTTTCTAACTATATATTTTGTTCCAAATTATTTTTATTAATTGCAAGTTAAGGGGTTTTCATCTAAGAAGTAGGATCCAATGCAAATAAATAAACAAGAATATTGTAAATTAATTATCTAACTTCTCGTCCTTAATATAAGAGTTAGCTGTAAATAGTATTTGGTCCTAAATATAATTATGTAAGATCTCAATGACTCAATCTACTATGTCTTTCGAATTTTAAATTCATTCTCTAAAATATTCTTATTGATTACACACATTAAGGAGATTTCTATAAAAAGGTAGTCATAATTAAAATGATACTTTGAGGAATTCAACTCACGTTTATTACAAATAACTAATTTAAAAAACTTTCTCAATCTACTTAAATTAGTTAAGTAGCTCTTATATTAATGACCAATGATAGTATATATGGGTGCGTATATATATACAATACTCTCTCCTCCTTTTTTATAAACAACAACTACCATCTCCTTTTATCACTAAACATAAGCAATATTTACAAGTTGTCTTAAATTTTTATAGCAAATTTCCTATTTTACTCCCATTACTTACTTATTTTAATATTTATTGTATTTATTATTTCATTTTCAAACCCTCATCTCTTTCCATCACATATTCTCTCTATTTCATAATTTTATTTATTATAATAATTTTCTTATTCTCTTTCTTACTCTCTCTTTTATAAATAAGAATATTTTGAAGAAAGAACTTTTAATTTTTACCTATTTATTATTTTTAACTAATTATTTTATTTACATAATAAAGTCTTATGTTGTTTTTGAGAAATGACGTTAGACATCACGTTCCTCCTCTATTTATGGGGTGTTTGGAAAGTCCAATAAGCACTTTTTAGAAGTATTTTTTTTGTAAATTAATATAAATTTTTTCACATATTTACTTTATATATTATTAAAATACTTATAAAATTATAATTTTGATCTTACCCAGACATCACAAAAACGAATTTGAGATCTAAATGCGAAAACAGAGATCAAAGAGGTACACATGTGAGTCTTCCACCATTAAATATGCTATGACCAAATTTGATTTAGAGTCAAAAGCTAATTAATGATTTTAAAGGAATAAAGATGCACGTGCTGGGGTGCTGGGTGTGCGTGCATGCATGTTGTGATTTGATGTAAGGCCAAAAGCTAATTTGAGATCCACAAGCCCAAAACAAGATCATGGATGTGTTTCCATGTCCTCTTATATTTTTGACTTAATTTAGGGAGAATCATTAAAAAATTCTAAGAAAAAAATTTAATTATAAAAAAATTATGGAAAAATCAATCTTTTAGTCCTTCAACTTTTAACTCACTTGTAACTCAGTCCTTCAATTATGACTCAATATAACTCAATCCCTAAACTTTAGATTCGTTTATGACTCAGTCTTTTTTTTTTAATTATTATTTTATCCTATCATCCTTCTCATTTATGACTCAGCTTGGGTCATCCTATATGACAATAATGGGTAAGAAGTTGTTTTCAAGTCAGCTCCACTTAACCAGAGAGAAGATAAAACCGAAGAACACGGAGAAGAGGGGAAAAAGAAAGAAGAGGCGACGAACCAGTATAGTCTACAAAGAAGAATTTGAACTGCACAGCCCAAATAGGGCTTTGATTTCATTCACACAGAAAACAATTATATGAACAAATTTTGAAGAAAATCAATTTAGAAAACAAGGATGAGGTATATGGCTGCTAACATGAACAGAATATATAACCAATTCCGAGCAAGAATGCGAGTAAATGGCTGCCGCCATTTACATAAACAGCAAAGCTTTATTGAAAGCCTTGTTGGGATCAAAGGCAGATAAATTTATAGACATGGAGAGAGGCCCTGCATTCATCTCCACGTAATTGATTTGAGAGTATAAAGGAGTAGATGTCCCTGTGGGTTCCAGCTTCAGAAGCAGCTTAATCTTCTTTCTTTTTTCCCCTTTTCTCCATGTCTTCAATTCTCTCTTCATTAATTACATGGAGCTGACTTGGAATCATTTTTATTACTCATTATTTCCATGTAGGATGACTCAGGTTGCGCTGTACATGAGAAGGATGATAATATAAAATGATAAAAAGACGAGAGACTGAGTTATAATCGAGTTAAAAGTTTAGAGACCAAATCACACTGAATCATAATTGAGGAACTGAGTTATAAGTCAGTTAAAAATTAAAAGAGTAAAAGATTAATTTTCTCAAAAATTTTAATGATAAGTGACTAGCCTGAATATATTGTTATTTCTTATTTTGAAACTTTTCATTGCTCTTACTCTTTATTTGTCGATAAACTTTAAGGTAATTAAATATCTTTCTTAAACCTGATTGTGATTCTCCCCTTAATTTAAGGTCAAAGGCCAATTTGAGATCTAAATATTTAAAAGCACATGTGTGATTATCATACCGTATGTTTGAGATCCAAAGGTTTCGGGTAAAAGGCCAATTTGAGATTTACTGCAGGTCTACAGTTAGGATACAACGTTTTTTTCGCTTTCTTTAACCAATCAACATGTTTACATCATTGATTAGAGACACACAGAATAACAAGTGAAAACTCTTAAAAATGGCCTAGCTTCTTCGTGTACTTTTTCAATCCCAAATGTAATAGTGTATATTATATCACTTAAAACTAAAGAAATATTTTTTTTCTCAAAGATAAGTTCAGTTCAATTTAAAAGAAGCTTGATGATGAAACGGTTAATATAATCATTGATCTTTTAAATTTGCATGAATTTTGATATTATCCTCTCACATTCCAAACCATAGATTTATTCCAAATTTTTATTAAATTATAGAAACGTGTTTTAGATGGGAAAAAAAAATTTGAAGGAAAAAGACCTATAATTTGAAACTTAAGACCAAAATCAAAATAAGAAAAAACTTATGAAACCAAAAATTGTATGAATCCATGATAAAATATTCACTTTCAAGCACAATTTTTTCAACAAATTTCACACTTGAAAGAGCCTATTTAAATTGGAAAAAAGACACTAGAATATCCTCAAAAATGTTAAAGGATAAATTAGGATAGATGAGTTTTAAAATCTCAAATCAAACCTCTTGTACTATTTTAAAATTTTAAAATATTATGAAATAACAATACTATCCTTATTCTTAATGACTATTTTTATATAACTATTGACTATTCTAATTTAACTATTAATTACTTTTGTTTTCAAAGTTCCGATGACTACTTTTATAAAGTTATTGACTACACAAAAGTAATAAATAACTAAATAAGAAGTAGTCATTAGATCCCAACAACACTTAAAGTATTTTTTGAATTTCTGACACAAAAGTGTTAATAACGAAAATAAAGTAGTCAATAATTAAACAAGAATAGTTGTCAAAAATTTAAAAATAAAAATAGTCACTCACAATACTAGAGTACTCAGTAGCTAAATAAAAATAGTCATTAGAGTTCTAAAAACAAACGTAATCAATAGCTAAAAAAAATAGTCAATACATAAGAAAAAGTAGTCATTGAAACTCCAATGACCCATCATTGGAACTCCAACGGCCAGAACTGCTAAAGTGGCAATATTTAAAGGAAAAAAAGAAAAATAATAGTAAAAAACATTTGTATAATTTTGTAAGATTTGAAAATTCCAAAATGATATAAGGAGTCTGAATTAGAATTTTAAAATTTATCCACACTGATTTGTTCTTTAACAATTTCTAGAGTATTTTATTGTCCCTGAGCTCTTGCAACATTTCAGAAATGTTTGCAGGCGAAGAGAGTTTTCAATGGTCCATGAGCCAATTCGTTTTGGCATTGGGAAAGGAGGACATGCATCACTGCCAATTCTTGTCAAGATAGAAGCACATAATTGTCACCAAAAAAAAAAAAAGAAGCACATAATATCAACCGTTGCAGATAGTTCCCACCAGTTTTTGCTCTGTAAAGTTCCCACCATTTTCTTCTTTATTATGTGTTATTCATCCTCCTTTGTATGCTAATAAGCTAAATGCCCACTATAAGTCCGTATAATGGAAGTTGTTCTTTTATTTAAAAAAAAATATTGGAGGCCAGTGCATCTTATAGGGTCTCTACAGCTGGTCAGGGACAAGGAGGCAAGGCTATGAATAATCAGTAAGAGGACAAAAAGGAAGGTAACATGTTCTCCATCTTTTCAAGCTGGAAAACTGGTTTCAAGCCTCTAAGGATCAAATGGTGCATTAGGAGGGAATAAAACCAAAAGATCAAGAGAGAAGCCAAACCCATAAAAAAACTATGCTTCTGGGATTATAAATATTGTGGGTTAATGTCGCAAAGTTAAGCAACAATGGAGCTAACACACACACACACTCTGAAGCGACTAGCCATGATATTCGTCTCATCAACTGTTACTTCTCCACGAAAACCCCCCCAGGATCTACTCTTGGCTAGCATAAGTCCCTTCTCAGCTCATGCCAAGTCTCGTGATTCAAATTTAATGGTAGTAAAAATACAAATAAAGGCCATTCTATCAAACACGAAGTTGATTGGCCTGGACCAATTTATTGATAGATAAGCCTGGTTGAACAACTGCTATCAGAGGCTTAACAATATAACAAACAATAGCCACTCATCATCGAAAGACTCGAAGGGAGTGGTTAACATTAGTAAAGCCTCCATCAACCATGAGGTTCTGACCGCTTACATACCTTGAATCATCACTTGCCAAGAAGAGCACCGCATTAGCCACATCATTTGCAGTCAATTCTACCCCTTGCAAATTGGCATTTCGCCCAATAAATGAACGAAAACCAACTATGGCATCCTCAGTGCTCTCATCTTCATGCAAATGAGCCAAAGACAAACCGGTGAAAACAGCATATGGTGCCACACAGTTCACTCTTATTCCATGTTTCCCCAGTTCAGCAGCAACATTCTTTGTGAGCCCCCAAACAGCATGCTTGGACCCTGTGTAAGCATGTGGTCCAATGCCCCCAGTGGCACTTGATACACTAGATAAGGATATGATTGATCCCTTCTTCAATGGAATCATAACTCTTGCAGCATGTTTCATCCCATGGAATACTCCCTTCACATTTATATTAAATACCTTTTCAAATTCTGACATATCCACTTCGCGGATATCAGGAGCAGGCGACCCAGAAATTCCAGCATTGTTGACTATAATGTCGAGGGTGCCAAATTTACGCACAGTGAAGTCCACTGCAGAGCGAACATCATCCTCTACTGTAACATCACAATGAAAGAAACAAACATTTGCGTCTCCACCAAGGGATTCTGCAACCTGCGAACCAAGGTTGTCTTGTACATCAACAATGCAAACTTTGGCACCGTGGAGGTGGAATAGACGGACAATGCTTTCTCCAATTCCAGAAGCTCCTCCTGTAACCAATGCTACTTTGCCTAGTAACCTGAGGAAAAGACAACAATCAACATAGTAATGTGACACAGCATAAGTGGGAAAGGGGTGATAATGCAGAAGATTAATGAAAATTGAATGCCTGAACAAAAGTATGTTAACAAGTACAGGCAGAAATGTTGCAGAACCAACATGTGCAACAGCAAGTAAAGAATGAGAATATGGAAGTGAGTAATTTTTTAAAGAACAAAAACTAATCACGGATTTCAGTCAGACCATCTATAATTCTATATTACATCCATTTGTCCCAGGCTGCTCTCTGTCTCTCACGGTAAGCACTTTTTCTATGCGATACCTCAGTCATGTATGCCTATGGATCCATCAGTAATTTTATAGCATGCAGGATAAGTAATGAAGCGACAAATACAAGTTACTCCATTTTGCAATGGAAAGAATGGAAGAATGTTCAATCTCTCTAAGCTTCTGGCTTCGCCTGTAGTTTAAACACTCGAAAGGATAAAAGTTTTTCTACCATGGTGCATGACCAGTTCAGGTGTTAGCACAAGTGTCAATCATAGAAACACAGATACATCATCAGTCCGGAAGATGAAGTCACCTTTTTTATTAACCAAAAGTATTGAACCAGTCAAGAAGGTCATACGAATAAATCATCCTACCTCCAAATTACTTAAATATCTTTATTCGTTATTTTTCACCCTCCTCCTAGACCAACTCACAATATACTCCAAAGGTGGAGAAGAGTGGTAAGACAAGCAGCTATTATATGTACATATTGAAGACTTCATAGAAATTTCATAGTCAGCTAGGTAGGAGGATTTAAGAGTTTGACATAAGCAGGATACACAAAACATTAAAGCAAAAGCATTTCAGGAATGAAAATATAACTGCTTTGGAAAAACAACTAGAGAGCATTCGAGAAAACACAAGTCAGCTAACAAAAAAAAAAAAAAAGGCTACAGTGAGAACTGAGAAATGAGAAACGCGCATAATCTCTTATAAATAATTTCAAGTTGGAAACAAAGCAGATAGCTCAATATCTCCATAGTTGAAATTCAAATATATTATTATAATGTGCATATAATGAAAAGGATCGAAAGCTTCCAGCAGTAAGTCAGAAACAAAGTGAGTTCAGAAGCGTCAAAGCAAGTCAAACTCAAGCCAAAAAATCTGTATATAGGCTCGACTAATCTGATAGCATATAAGTTCAAATCCACTCGGCTTCAGTTACTTGAAGCAGATCTAAATCCGAAGAAATCCCAACGAGGATTCAAGATATTGCATGCAGATTTACCACCAGAAGTCGAACAAAAAAGTGGGGAATTAAAGAGCCAGACGTATCTCACCTTTGGGACGGAAGCGAGGACGGAGTAGTGACGCTGACAATGGACATAATTGTGGTATCTCAGCGAGAGATTCCTCACCGTCTTTCTCTGAAGCGAATCACATGATTGATTTCTTCGGGCGTAGAAAAAACGTACACGAGGTTCTGACTTTCCTACTATGCCCTTCCCATCCTCTTCTCTTCGGTCCGCACAAAACCAAAACCGTTGTGGGTGTGAAAATGAAGCTAACCACTTTTTGTTTTTTGTTTCAACTGTTCTAAAATAATTTTTAAGGCACCAAAAATATTTTCGGTATGTTCTTTTTATAGCATCTAATATTCTAAATTAATGTCTAGTGTATTGCATTATTTTTTTAAAATAACACGCAAAAGTAGTAGACATCCAACTTAGTAGGTATTAATGCTGAAAAAATATTTTAAAATATTAAATACACTAAAAATATTTTAGAATATTGGTTGGATGCCATTGAATGGTTATCTTAACAGCTCATCCCGCATGGGTCCACATGGTTGGACTGTTTATGTGCTTATTTGAAATAAATCATAAGTAATTTTTTAATCATAATTTACGAAATATGAGATAAATATGTGAGAAAAATTTTGTTTTAACTTACATAAAATATACTTATAAGTGTTTTTAAATGCGTTTCCAAACCCTGTATGACTCAAGGGATGTTTAGAAGCATCCAAAAATTTAAAAAACAAAATAAACTCCTTCACATATTTATTTTGTACATCATAAAAACACTTTTAAAATTATAGTTTTGATTCCATTCAAACACCCCTCACTAGAAGAAGATGACGAAAGAGAGCATAGAGAAGGTAAGAAAGATCCATTTAAGAAATATAAGAAAGTAGAGACTATTATTTTACAGCAAATAACAACTAATCTGACCCCCCTCAATCACGAACTGAGACCAATTTTCAAACGAGATTATTACAAATTTTTGTTCTTCAAATTTATTTTTTAAATTATAGGTTTTGATCTTTAAATTTTCTTTTATTTATAATATTAATTTTTATAATCTAATAAAAATTTGAACTATTTTATGTTTTGAGAGCCTAAAATCAAAATGGGAATAAATTTTAAAAACTAAAATTATATTAACCCAACCTGTAAATATCAGCAAAATGGCTGAGAAATCGCAGGCATTTGACAAAGACGGCCATTTGAGACACCGAGAGAAGAGGACAATTGCGGTTAGCCTTTGGGAGAGGCATGCTGATTCTCTCACCACGTGTGTTCCTTAATTTCATTATAAAATTGAATTGAATGGGGAAGATCGGAAGAGATATGATGGGGTGTGCTCTTTTTTTTTATATAAACAACTTTAAACAAATTTCGTCATTTAGGTCAAAAAAAATTAGTTAAAAATAATAAATAGATAACAATTAAATTTTTAAAAATATCCTTATTTATAGGAGAGATAGAAAGTATAAGAAAGTGAATAAGAAAATTATTATAATAGAAAACACTATAAAAGAAAAAGAATTAAAAAAAAATGTGGATAAAGAGAGATAATTGTTTGGAAAATGAAATAATAAATATATTAAGTATTAAAATAAGTAATTAATGGGACAAAATAAAAAATTTGTTACAAAAAATTAAAACAACTTGTAAATGTTGCTTTCATTTAGGAATAAGAGGGTAATGACAGTTGTTTCTTATGAAAAGAGATGGATGGAGTATAATTTAGGGGGTTGTATAATTTACCCTTAGATTTAAATTAATATTACATTTTAATTAACAATAATAAACAGTTGGCAAAATAATAATAACAATAAACAACTAAATAATTAATAGATTTAATACTGAATAATTAATAATTAATATAAATTAATAGGTTTGCATTCTTGCAAAAAGATGGGCTTACATTGATTAAAAAGATTCTAATATAAATTATAATTAAAAAATTTGGCCGGTTTAGATTTAAATGTATCTTTTAAAATAGAAGGGAGGTTCATATTATTAAACTAAAATGTAAGGGGAATTAAAATATTATATTCATGGTCAAAAAATTAAAGTATTTAATTTTAAAAAATAATGATAATAAAAATAACTAAAGTGTCCACATTCCTATTTATAAAACAAAGGGAGAATTTTTTTATCGTATTTATATATCACATCATTTAATTTTTAGTATGAATGTAATATTTTGTCATTCATTTATTACATTGTAGTAGCTTTGACTCAGTTCAAGATCTTATAAAAAGGACCATACCAATTCAAATTTTGGGATCATATAAAAAGAACTAGAGCTAGTAAATTAATTGGTATTTTTTAAAGTGCATATATTAAATAAGGGTAAAATTAAAATATTGTTATATTTTGAGACATATTAGTTTAATGTGTTTTTATCTATATGAAGCATAATAAAATGTCCTACAAACAAGATCTAAGGAGTAATAATTATCAATCCATTATTAAAATATTGATAACATATTTTATTATGTTAAAAATTTATAAATTATAAATATTTAATAAAATTTAGACAGTATATACATCATTTTATCAAAATAACACAAACAAGGGAAAATAAAATGGCGTGCGTCAACGAATCTGCAAAATCTTGCCAAGTCTTCCAATAAAACGCTTCCCAAAAAATGGAGCGATTGATATGCTTGGCACAATTATAATTTATAATCTTAAATTGATTGTCATTTAGCTGTGTTGTGGAGGATAGAACCAAAGAATATATTATACTCAACTTATTTCTATTGACCTTTTTAAATTTAGGGTGTTTGGGTTAAGTTAAAAGTGTTTTTCAAAATTATTTTTTTGTAAATCGAAACAAATCCCTCCACATATTTATTTTGTATACTGTAAAAGTACTTTCAAAACTATAATTTTGCTTCTATCCAAACACCCCCTAAGTATCAATATTATAATGCAACATCGAATCATCTCTGGAATGGATTCAAAATTCAATTCCTCTCCCTTCCTTCTTTTTCTTTTCTTCCAAAGTCTGATCTCCATCCTTTCCGATATAAAAATGGATAGTTCAAATTTAATGTTTTATAAAAAATATTAGTATAAAAATAAGTAAATAAATTAACACTGTTAAAATTGACTTGCATAATCCATGCTTACAATATAAAAAGCACGAAAAAGATTAAGTTTATAAATTATAATTATAGTTGTATAAAATATTATATTTGAACCATTCATTGTTCTATCTATAGGTGGAGATGAGAGTTTGAGAAGGAAAACAAGATAAAAAGAAGAAGAAGAAGATAGGATCCATTCGGAACATACATTGGACAACAAATGGAAACAAAGATTGAAGAAATTCAAATAAAAATTAGGAATAATTATTCTCTGGGTCCTTATAGCTTCATCTGATTTTTAATCAGGTCTTTATAAAAATTTTTCTTTTTATCAGATCATTTTATTTTTCACATGTTTTTAATTAGATCCTTCTATTTTTTTTTCTTTTTGTCAGGTTTTATAATTTTACTTATTTTTTAATTAGGTCCTTTGTAGTTTTAAAAAAAATTATTTATTAACTTTATGCTTTAAATTAATTTCATTTTTAAATTAATAATAATATAATTGGACAGAATAATTAATATAATCATTTAGTTATGAATAATTAATCAGAATAATCAATTATACTTAATTATAAATTATTTATAATTATTTATAATTATATTCCAATTTCAGAAAATTTTATTATTATAATTTGAATTTTATAATTATAAAAATTAGAATTAAAAAATAAATACTATATATGTTTAACTAAAAATTTAAAAGAATATTAACATAAAATTGTTATAATAATTTATTATTTATAGAATAAAGAATAAAAACTACAAGAACCTAAAAAAATAAAAAATAAGATAAACAAGGACATGATAAAAAAAAAAATTATAAGGACGTGATTAAAAACATGTGAAATTATAAAGATCTAATTAAAAAATAGTTGAAACTATAAGGACTTGCATATTAATTATCTCTAAAAATCACATCCATCTGGTCCTAGATGCAGGATTTAGTTAGGAGTAAATTTTAATTCTTAATATAAAATATTAATTTATTCTATTTCTCATATTTATTATTTTTTATAAATTAATTTATCTAAAATATAAACTGATATATAATCTAATATTGTGTCATATTATTTTAGGCAGATTAGATCACACTTGTTATAATTAAGTAGTTTACTTATGTTTATTAATTTGCTTGAATTAAATAAAAAAATTAGAAAAATAACACTAACATTAAGGATGAGGGTACTTAATTTGAAAATGCTGGTAATAAATAGAATTAGTTGGTCTCAAATGTGAATTTCATATATTTTGTGTGGTTCGATTACAAGGGAAAAATTGATGATGATGATGATAAAGACTACAAGGGAAAAAAGGTCCACTTTTGTTTTTTTGGTTTTTTTGTTTTTTGGGGGGGGGGGGGGGATAGTCCTTATCTCCCGATTTGGTCTTCTATTTCGGATAAGGTCTCCATTTTCATGAATATAAATCGCAATGCTTTGCAGAAAGTTAGCCAAAGTTACCAACTTTCCCGCTCCAGTGCAAGTCCACGTAAGAATTGCAGTGAGAATAAAGCATTCCGGGAGATTAATTTGTCGTTTGCTGATTTGTCGGTATTATATTTCTTTAGGATTAACATATTATATTATATTTAGTATTCTGAAATAATTTTTTCAGTGTAATTTTACTTTTAATGTATTAATTTTTTTTAAAGAAACAATCATTCTTTCAATTATTATTTCATGAATAATTTTAATTTCATCATCAACTTCTTAACATGTCATTAAATGAATGTATATTAAGTATATAAAATATTTTTTAGTATTTTTTATATTGTTGACGGTTGAGCACATCCTGAAAAAATTTCAAATGCTAGATGAATTATAAAATACTTTAAGATACTAATGTATTTTAAAAAAAAAATCCTCAAGTTGCATGATACACCATCAAAATATTTTAAGATGATGAATGCACCTAATAAAATATTCTTGTGGTGTTATTAGTTATAATTATAATAATAAACACCATGGCAATCACACAAGCCCAGTTTTTTCTGGTAAGCACCTCCTATTAGATATTAGAGGCAATCTTGTTTAAGGCACTGTCGAGAACTAAATCATCTTTTCTAACAGGGATTTGAACTTTAGTTCACTACGTTGTGAAAAATTAGTCTTTTTTTTGCTAGACCTAACCCTGTTGATACACAAGCCCAGTTAGTGAATCAAAATATTTCAAATGCTAGATAAACTATAAAATATTTTAAAATATTAGATTCACTTAAAAAAATTTCTCAAGGTGCATGATACACCATAAAAATATTCTAGGGTGCTGAATGCACCTAACAAAATATTTTATGGTGTTATTAGTTATTATTATTTTCTTCTCTAAGTAAGTATTCTTTTGTTTGAGGAAATCCTATTTAAGGTATTGTTGAGCACTAAATGTGAGCTGCCATTTTTTTTTTGCTGAAGCATAGTATTCTCTTATTGAAGATAATTCTATTTGAGGTACTGTTAGGCACTAAATAGAATACCTCTCTAAATAAAAATTTTAATATCGGTTTATTATATTACAAGTGATCGGCTTCTTTTTTTTTTTTCAGACTCAACTCCCAATGGCATGTGAGCTGCTATTAGTTACTACCTTCGGTCCTAATTATAAGAGTCAGTTGACTAATTTGAGGAGATTAAGGAAGTAAGTTGAGTTAGTTATTTGTCCTAAACAGGTGTTGTCTTTTCTAAAATATCCTTGCTAATCAAATGTATTAACTAGAACTATTATTGTTAGAATGGTTACTTTGAAAAAAAAAAGAGTATAAATATGAGAGACAAAGTGGATTGGGGTCTTGTATCTAGAAACAAAATAAAAATCAAACATGATCTTATATTAAGGATCGGAGATAGTATTAGTTATTATTATTATTATTATTATAATAAGCATCATAACAATCACGCAAGCCGAGTTAGTGAGCTCGAACTTGGCATTGGCAAATAAGGGAAAGTATTTGGACTTCAAAAAAATGGAGGCAAGTCGGTGCAGTCCAATACAAAGATGGACTATTTCCTCGTAATCACCCATTTCATTCGGATCACAGATTGGGCTTCCGTAATGGATACTCATTCAAGTCGGACTAACCCGACCCTGAAATGTAGGGTTTTGATTGGAAAAGGGGTTTTTGCGGGTCTCGATATAAAGCAGATAGTCCTCCTCTGCTTTTATGGTTAGGTCTTCCATTTCACCGAGCGATTCATCTGGCTGAAGATTCGAGCAAGAGTTTCTAAGAAATTTTTGAAAGGTACAGACTTTTTTGTTCAAATTTATGCTTCTGATGTCGTTTCGGTTTTATCAATTTGACTGAGAACTTCTTATTACTATTGGTCTCGTCTCTGGCGTTGAACTGACATGGATTGGCTTTGTCGATTGTTTTGTGATGGTTTTAGTATATATTTGGGTCTCCTTATGAGCTCCCAACTGAAGAAGGGATGTATTGATTCTCTCGTCTTGATTTTGGGATTTTGGAATTGGTCGATTTCTAGAAGCGGGATTTAGCTGGGGTTTTGGTTTTGTGTTTGTTTCTTCATATCGTAAACTTGTCAATTTTGTATCGGCGAACACTTCTATTATAGTATGGTGTGTTAGTGAAATGCTGAGCTCGGGCGTTCCTTAGGCCATTGAAGTTGAGGAACTTAAGGTGTTTTCTATTGAGAATTAGCGGTTAGGGACGTTTCTTACAGAAACTTACCCCGGGATTTAACTGAAGCTATTTATAAGGATTATTTATTTTCTTTGAAGATTCTGGACCAAATACTTCATCTCCTGCTGCAGGGTAGATTTTAAAATGCACACCGAGATTTGCTAGTGTTGTTAATTGTTTGCCGATGATATGGTGCCTGGGGCTGAAGCTCAATTAAGTTTGTTTGGAAAATAATGCATTGAGGCTTTTACACACGCTCACTAAAGTATGTGTTATTTTGAAGTTTTTGAGACCTACGTTCACATCCTTTCCTATTTACAAATGTTACACTAACTGCCCACATTTTAATAACTTCTCATCCATTATCTACCTTGAACCGTGTTAAGAGTATTCTGTGGGCTTTTGGTAATTTTTGCTTCATTGGATTAAGCTATTGGGAATTTATGGAAGTAAAGGCTCTCCTAGTCCCTAGAGATATAATTTCTATTATGAATCATTTGATTGGGAGGTATTTTAGTAGTAGTTGAAACTAAAGATGGTGTTAGCGTAGGCTTTGTGAATTTTGGGGGGAGGCTATTCGCTATGCACACATATGCACCGAAGTGGGTGGGAATAGATGAAGAGGATTGATTACCCCTGGTATCAATTAAAACTAATGTTACTTATAATGATTTTCTTACAATCATCATCATCATTGAATCAAATGTTCTTGTCTTGATTTTTCATCCTTCTAAAATTGTTTGATGCCCCATCATTAAGTCCAAAAACTAACATAGAATATGCATTTCAAATATAAACTACCAACTAGTTGATTACACAAATTATCATATAATTTTTTAATTAAAATTTTGTGTGGTGTTTTTATATGGTAGTATGATCTACTCCACGAGTTCAATCAATGTTAGTCTCATCCTGATCCTATTATACAGTATTAGAAGGCGTAAAAGTTTCAAGTCTAACCTTAGCGTCAATCAAATATTGCCATCGATCTGTTTAAGTGCATGCATATGTGTGCTTATGCTGTCTTTTCATTCTTTTCTTCTCTATGTGTGTGTGTGTGTGTGTGTGAGTCAGTGAGTGTATCAATTCATCCTTGCTTTCACTGTGTGTCTGGGTTCGGGGGTGTATAACACCTGATGGCATGATATTGCAATTTTAATCTTATCCATTGATCACTCTGCACCCTCTTCCCCCTTTTTCTTTGATCTTTTTACAAAAAAAGTTTACCTTTTTTAAGCCCTTCTATGTAACATTGTCATTTCCTTTTCTCTAATTATGTCAAGACCAAGTCTAATAAACTTACTGGTGAAAATAAATTCTGATTAAAAAAATTTACCGGGTTTTTATGCTTATGTCCTCAAACAGATGAATCGTGAAAAGCTGATGAAGATGGCTGGTTCTGTTCGAACTGGTGGGAAGGGTACTGTGAGGAGGTGGGCATATATCTTGATCTCTGATGGTGTTTCTTATAATCATGAAAGAAGCCATTGTTTCTTGATTTTTGTTGCTATAAGAATAGTAACAGTTACTTGTTTTTGTTTGCAGCACCAGATTTAATACTATATGAACATATGTTCTTTTGCTTTTTTTTTTTTGGGGGCATATCCTTCACTAGACACTTATATATTGTCTTTTGCTAATTCTTTGTTTCAACTTTCTGGATTTGGTATATTGTCACTATCAGTTTTTGTTGAATGGTTGTCTGAGTGATGCCTTGTAATATCCTATCGCTTATCGCATAGAATGAGGCTGCTGAGTAATGGGACTATATTTTTGAATTCTGTGCTGTATTGTCTGTCAATTATAGAAAGAAGAAGGCCGTCCACAAGACGACTACCACAGATGACAAAAGGCTTCAGAGTACTTTGAAGAGAATAGGCGTGAATGCGATCCCTGCAATTGAGGAGGTCAACATTTTCAAGGATGATGTAGTCATCCAATTTCTAAATCCTAAAGGTAATGTACAGTGATGGTATTTTGGCTGTATTATGTTATCCTATTTTTTAGTGTGTCCACATAAAATTATTTAATACTTATTATCTTTCTTTCTTTTCTTTTCTTTTTCTTTCTTTTTTTTTTTCAGTCCAAGCATCCATTGCTGCTAACACATGGGTCGTCAGTGGTGCTCCTCAAACAAAGAGTATGTATCTTTTTTTATGCCTTAATGTTGGTCTAACTTGCACTCTATGGGAGTTAGATATTAACTATCTTGTATGCTTTAAGGGCGTGAACTTTCTTTTGACTTAGGTTCCCCATTTATTAATGTTTGAATATTGATCAACTCAACTGTTTGTGCCTTTGCATCTATAACCTCATAAAAATTTAGATTGACATTCAGTTTTCTATCTTCGCCCTTTGCAGAGTTGCAAGATATACTTCCTAATATTATTAACCACTTAGGTATGTTCTTTGACTCTTCTCATCTCATTTTATAGATTTATCATATTTTTCTTTGTTCCCATTTTAGCTGAAAGTTATCTGACTGTTTATCCACATAAAAACTGCAGGACCAGATAACTTGGAGAACCTGAAGAAGCTAGCAGAGCAATTTCAGAAGCAGGCCCATGAAGCAGGTGCTGGTGCAACCGCTGCACAAGAGGAGGATGACGATGAAGTCCCAGATCTTGTTGCTGGCGAAACCTTTGAGACAGCTGCCGAGGAGACGCCTGCTGCATCTTAGATTTTTTACTTTGCCTTCTTTATATATTTCCTGTGTTTTTTTAAGGATTTTTTTCCCTTGTTTTTTCAAATTTAAGCATTTCAGGTGTTTTCTGTTACATACTTAGCTGACAAACTCCTAAAATGTGGTTTTCTCCAACCAACTCTAGTTGTTGTACTACTCTAGAGTTTGCCCCATTGTATGTGCATCATAATTGAAGGTAGAAATCAATTTTGCTTGTTTACGTTTTCTGTTCCATGGCTTTAGTTTGTTGCTTAGCTTTTGTGTGAATGGTACTTTGCAGTATTAAGGGCGATAGAAAAATTAATTCAGGTTGTTCCAATGCTCCATATCTACAATCCCTTGCAATTTTTAATGATTGAGATATTTAGTGCGAGTTGTTTCTTAATATAGCTGGTGAGGGTTAAGTGCTTAACGAAGGCCTGTCGTGTATTTCTTCTTTTGTTTATACACGACAAGAAGTTTAGGAGAATCGAGTCTTGTAGGCTACGGTTAGGGTGTCCCTTCAATTTGCTTAATTTATTGGTTATGCTTTTTTTTTTTTTCCAAAAAAACTTGTGGGTTTCAATTCGATTTGTATATCCTCAAGCAGGGACGAAATTGAAGAGCCAGCAAAATATTAGGGAGTTAAACAAGAATTGATGACATATCATTGTTGTTAATTAATGTTCCTAGTTGGATGAGTAAAGAATTCATGAGAATTATTGAACTTTTCATGTGCAATGCAACGTGCTATAATTGATAGATTTGCTAAAGATCTCCAATGGTCACTGGTCAGTTCGATAGGTGACAGAAAGTTGGACATCTTGATCTGGATGGACGATATGTTCTCTGGTTACTATCAAAAACTGAAAGTGAGGCAAAGATAGCTTGTGGATCTCTATTTTGATTCTTTATTGTAGTATTCTTGATTCTTAATGACTAATTACTAATAATAGTAATCTAATTTAATAAATAATACTGATAAAACAATAAAGAGATAACAAGAGACTTTTTTTATGTGCCTTCCCATAACAACAGAGGATAGATTGGTGAGAATGAATCTGGAGCAAAGGGACATATGAGCTCTTTACGACAAGTCATTGGGTGACCAAAATCAGCTTCTATGCGGCCAATAATGCTTGGTGACCAATGATGCATGCTAATCAATAATCATATGAAACAATGGTTTTGGAAATTAGAGCATGCAGAAACAAAGTCTTTGTAGCTAACTAGCTATTCAATCAGAATCAGAGGAACTCTTTTTGTAGGTCTTTTCTTGTAGCATACAAAGTAGCATTAACCTTTTTATTCAAGGCATCATTTGTAGGGTGCGAGCTAAAAACCAGAAAAGTCCCCCACCAGAAGAAGGAATATGTGTGTACATGTTGTGGCCAAAAAAAAAAACCAGACATAACAATAAGTTCCTTTTAATTTCAAGTATTTAACTAGTTTGTGGTTATTTTTCAAAAGTTGGATGCATCCTGTTATTATTTGTAACAGAACAATGCCATGAGCATACAAGAAAGTCTATGAACAAAAAAAAAAAAAAAGAAGAAGAAGAAAGAAAAACCAAAGCCCCATTAGTTCTCATGCTTAAAACACAAAACAATGGAGAAAAAAGCGCCAAGAACACACTGCTTAAAGAAAGAGGTAGGCTGCTTCCCGTTAAAAATGAGAAAGAGAAAGAAAATCGAAGAGGGGGAAAAGAGAAATGCAGACTCAAATTGAAAGTGAGAAGAGATGAAACATGAAGGGAATTTGAAATTTTCAAACTTGCATAAAACCCAACGCAAAGCTGACTAACTGCAGATCGGCTTTGTGAGTATCAAATAACGAAAGCAGAGGGGAGCTATTGATAACACTAAGCTTGGCTTTATGATCAGGAAAAATCAAAACTTTTTAGGATAAAGATGCACTTTCCATTCTGAAAATTTTTAGAGTTACATTTAGCATCCCAAAATAATCAGTGGTGCAATTTTGCACTTCAAATAAAAAAAAATGGAGCGATCTCACTCTTACCCCGTCAGAATGCTCCTTCAAGGTGAGTGAAGAAAGGACCGGCGGGTGAGGCGCCGTTCTTGAGCTCATTGAAGACGACGGCAGAGATCAAAGGAAGTCTGTGACTGAGACTGAAAAGAGAAGCCTACTGGAATAGCTTCCCTCTTTCTTGGCTATTCAAGGTTGCGTAGGTTGATTGTTCATGAGGCAATGGCTTGATGACCCCGTGGCTTCATTCTTCATTCCTCTTTTATGAGGTTAAGAACTTAAAACTTCCCTTTTCTGAGAATTTAGGCTATGTTTCGTCCCCAGTTGAAATTGTGCAGCTGTGCCTGTGTAACCTTGGATTTACCTCGGAATAATTTCATTGCTTCATAGATGTAGGAAGAAGACATAGCTCACGAGTCCGTGGTCTTGGCTTGTTTGTTAGTTTGCCTAATCTCACAAACTTGGACCAATTGTTCCATGTGGTGAACCCAAGTCTAATACGTGATTTAAGACATTTGCTTGCACATGTCGAGCTTGACTCGTATCACTGGAGTAATGCTTTCTCTGGCTTTAGAGTAAGTTAATCTGATGCAATTTGTTCATGAGTAAGCTAATCAGCGCCTCCGTCCCTGGCTCAGCCCGCAACGATGACGATCAATAGTGTCCCTTCATCATCTCTAGTTTTAAGCATTACACATGGCATCCAAAAAAATAAAAGAAAAGAAAAAAGTAATGCCTAGCTAACGGAGTTAAAAGTGGCTGTTAGTGAAGGATAAGATTCAATGATTACTGGACCAGACCAGACCAGACCGGCGGTCCGACTAGTTGAACCGTTCAACCGGACTCATTAACAGCTTAGTTTGGATCAAAAAACCGTTCATATGGTTGAGTTGAATTGAATTGGAGTTGAGTCGTCATTAAGCCAAAACCCAAAGTTGGATCGGGAGCCGAAATAGTTTTTAGAAAATCAGACGGTTTTTTAGCCTAACTGAAAAAAAATACTAAAAAATTTAAAAAAAGAAGAAAAATAAAAAAATTGACCTCCTCAAATATCCTAATATATTTTTAGACTATTGATAATATAGTATTATTTCATTGAAAATTTTATATATTGCGGTATCAAAACTGTGAGTTGCGTTTCGATGTCTAGTATAGCTTTTAAAACAATATTTTAATTTGAATGAATTAATAATTTTTAATATTATTAAATATTTTAAACATATATAAATTTAAATATATAAGGTTTTAGTCTATTTTCAATGATTTCACTATAATTTTAGATTATTAAATATATTTCTAAATCATTTAATAATTTGAAATTTTCATATATATATATTAATTATATATAATATTGTTTTAAATTAATTATTGCTTTATTGGTTTGACTGGACAGTCAAACCGATTAAACTATGACTAGTTGATCTTTCCGGTTTGACTTTGTTTTTAAAATATTGATAAGATTACTCCATTTTTATTATTTAAGTGCAAAATTACACCACTAATTATTTAAGGACACTGTATTCACCTTCAAAAATGTTCTTAAGGTGTTGAGTGAAACTTTACCCAATTTTTTGTTGATATATTGATGACTTAGTGTTTTATTGGCAGTTTACAAATTCATGGTCTTTCCACGTTATTTTTTCATTTCAAGGGGAGTTTGGAACCCTAAATATAGTTAGCTGTTTATATGTAAGTTGACACAAAAATTCTCAGACATTTAAATATGATGAAATTAATTTTAAAAAGTTAATCCAAACCTTTCCTTTCTTTAGTAGTTCTCCTGTGTCATTTTGAAAATACCCTTCCGTTCCTCCCCTTTTCCTTCGCCAACGGCCACCACCCTCGCGTAGTTCAGGCGTTCACTCCCGTCGGGAGCTGCTTCCATTCCCTCTCTCTCCCTCTTGTTGTCGTCAAGTTGCTCGACCTCTATCCTTTTCGCTGTATCGTAATTTGCTCGGCCTTACCCCCTCCTCCAGTTCTCCTTCAGCGTTCCTCTCCCTCCCCTGCCTTTTCTTCTACCTCTTGCTTATGGACTTGGATTGGTTGTGATTTTCTGGGATTTTAGCCACTGGCTATCATCTTTTGTTCTAATATGCTGACCCACTTGTACTCTTTCCTTGTTTATTCATACCGCCATTGAGATTGATATTCGCAAAATCATCTCCTGCCAATTTATAGCCTGCGAATGTGACTTACTTCTCTCGAATGGGTTATCACAATATCTGACCCTGTGGGTGAATTGTTGACAACCATCCTTGCTTTGCGGACAAACATCTTCCCCTGAGTCTCAATGAAGCTTGTGAGTTTCTTACGCCATATTTCTACAGTTCTGTGGTGGCAAAGTTCTGTTTACAATATTTATGGAGTTTTCCCTTTTGGTTTGAAATTTGTGTTTTCCTGAGTTTTCTGCAGACTTGTTTGAGCAAAGGCGAGGGCTTTCACTTCCCACCATGTCATATGCTGAATTTTTGTGGCCTCAGGATCTTATTGGATTGCCCACTTGACCTCTCAGCTCTCACTGTGTTCTCTCCTGTACCCGCTGGATTTACAGCCTCACGCTGCAAAGGAAGAAGCAACTCTGGTACAAGTCTTGATGCTAATAGTTTAATTTTTGCAGAACCTTGGTATAAGTCTGTTAAGAACTTGCATCTGTGGAACTGGTGTTCTATTGATTTTATATTGATCTCAAGACCTATGGGCATCCTGGGATTACCTTTTCTTACTCGCATGAAAGGTTTTTCAGCTAAGGTATCCCACTTTGATGTTCTTCTACTCACATTGAAATATTGTTACTTGATCTCATTTTTGTTATAGTCTGCCCAAATTATTTTTGCTTAGTCACTTGTTTAAATTTGGTAGATTTATGTAACTGAAGTATCAGCAAGATTCGGCCAATTTATGATGGAGGATCTTGTATCAATGCATGCTGAGTTAAGGCAGTTTTATGGACCAGAGGAATCTAACTTCCCTTCATGGCTGAGGCAGGAAGCACTTGAAATGCTTCCTTCTGAGTTGAGAGAAATAATTTTGGGCAAAGATGGAGAAGAGCTGGGAAGTTGGATGCCATTGTATAGGTAGTCTAATCTATCCTTTAATTAGTTTTGATGCATTTATCATGCATTATGTACGTGAAACTGAAGGCACTATGCCTGACATAGCTGTTCAAAGTTTGGCTCACCATAGCAGTCTTGATTTCAACTGTTTTTTAAGTCTTGGTGGGTGGAGGTTGGTTATTGAAAATGAGTAAAAAAGCACTCCCTCTATTCAGGGGAGGATATGTATTGACTATTGAGTTAGCTTTGCTTCTTGCAGTTTTGTGCTAAAGTTATTGGTTATTTTCATTTTATTCATGGAAGATAAATATGGCAAAATTTAGTTGTCTGGGCTATGATATGGAAATTTCTCAGTGCAGCAGATGTGAAGGATTGCATGCTGAAGGTTCAGACACTTAAATATGCTGAAGAAGCCTGCTACAATGGCACTTTGGTTATAAAGGCATTGAGCTCCGGTGTAGAATTTGGTGGTTGTAACTGGATTTTAAGTGGTCCAAAGGGGAATGTTGGCTATATTTCATGCTCCAGCTTCAACTCCGCTCATGCAATGAATTTTGATTTCCATAGTCTACAAGGGACTCGTATATTAATTTATTCAGATTTCTCATCCTTAAGAGTCACACCAAATGTTGAGGATGACAATAGTTCCTCTAAACCATCTGTTAATGACTCATTATTTCTCGGGTATGAGTTTGGAGTTTTAACATTTTGTTTTTGAGTTTCAAATCTTGTCCAGGGATTTCAGTTAGTACATCTCTGTAACTAAGGTGTCATTGTACAGTCAAGGTGATGAAAATTTGTTATTAAATTAACTTTGACAGTGATGACAACAGCAGCTATGTCGAACAAGCAGAATGCTTCCTCAACTCTGATGAAAATTCAGAAGAAAAGGAAAAGCTGGTTTTCATATCAGCCTGTGCTATTGAGTGTGTCAAAGATGGTGGTTCAGTGCTGATTCCAGTTAGTCAACTTGGAACTCTTCTGCAGCTTTTGGAGCAACTGATAGCTTCACTAGAATCTTCAGCAATGGAGGTAAACTTTCTTCTTTTGAATGTTTTACTATTGAAGTTATAAAGATCCTAAAACCCCACCGAAGTATAACCAGTGGTTGTCTGTGATAAGCCTTTCTATGAAGTTTCTTCTCTCTCTTTAGACAGCACACCCATGTCCTATTTAGTTGATTGCGGCAAACCAAGTTTCTGGTTGAACAACTCAAGGCAAGCTGAGTGTGTCAGTGGTTTCCTTGGTTGCTTTGCAACTTTTGTAACACTAACCCTGGAGAGTTTTAAATTTCTATTCTTCCTTTTTTTTTTTGTATTTCGGTTGCTAACAAGGTCAGACTTTTGCCTCTTGTTATTCCTACTTCTTATAATCTCCTTTTAGCTTCTTCGCTTTATTTGCTGTTCCAATTGTCAAATGGAAATTGAAGTCTCATCATTGATTTTGTCTAACAAACCTAGGCAGTATTGGTCAATGGTTTGTAAAGTTTCATAAATATTGTTTAATCAAATAGACCTCGTTAGTTGGAGATGACAACCATTCCAACATTTGCTTCTACTAACTTTTTGGGTTGTTGGTCCTTCTCATGATGTCAAGGTTTCTTTTCTTTTTTCCCCCCCAAATGAAGTGGTCAAGAGTTTGAACTCAGCACTATTCTTCATAAGTAAATTAAATTTCAGCATAATGTAATATGGGCTGGTGCACATCCACCCTTCAAACTATGCTTATTAAGTTACATATTTATCTGTTTGTAGGTTCCAATTTATATAATTTCTTCCGTGGCAGAGGAATTACTGGCGTTCCTTAATATCATACCAGAATGGCTTTGCAAACAACGACAAGAAAAGGCAAGACACTTCGTATTTATGAATTTGTAAACGTTTCACCTGTATGCATTCTTTTTAACCATATTTGTATAATTATCCACAGAACTTGAATGACTAACTTCACTTGGTGATGCAGCTATTTGCTGGGGAACCATTGTTTTTACATGCCAATCTTATAAAACAGAAAAGGCTTCATGTGGTTCCAGCTATTCATTCACATAAACTCCTGTAAGTTTTTTTATCCTTGTCCCTTCCACTCTGTTTTGGAGTCACCTACTGGTGGAATGATTATTTTCTTATTGATCTGTGATGGTTTTGTCTTTCCTAGACCCAAAAACATGCTGGCTGTAATTTTCAACATCTTGGGGAAAAAGAAAAACTCATTTTGTAGTGTTGTTAGTAGCTTCAAAATTCATGAGAAGGGCTTGAAAGAAACTAATGGTCTGTGCTTAGAATGAATTGGCAGGAACCATGTATTGTATTTGCTCCACATTGGAGTCTTCGCCTTGGCCCTGTTGTTCATTTGCTTCGACGTTGGCGTGGGGATTCAAAATCTTTACTTATCCTTGAGGTGCTAATGCATTACATTACATGACTTTTTTTGCCTTTTGTGAAGTTTGTTCACAATTTTTCTTTTTCCCCTGAATAAAATTTGATATATTTATGTATCTTGAACGCTTAGATTTTCTCTAATGAAACCAGGCAGAGGTGTCTAATGTTGGGCTGAATTTATACCATCTGCAGGATGTTCTGAATCCTGAACTAGCACTTCTACCTTTTAAGCCAATTGCAATGAGGGTTCTTCAATGTGCGTTTCCCTTTGGTATAGAGTGGGTTTCTCTTTTCCCTACCTATATCATTCAATATGAACATTAATTTGTGTGTATTCTGTTTGTTTGGATAAATGTTATTTTATTAGGGAGGAATGGGTAGATAGCCAAATAGGTTTTAGAGTGACTAGGTTGTTCAAGCTCTCTGCATGTAAGAAATAGAAACTCCCTTAAAACAGCCACGTGTAGAGCCTCTAAAAGAATATGGCTTCATTACCACTTGAGTGGTTGAGGCTCTCGCACGTTAAGCAAGTGGTTTGTGTATGGAGCAAACTGGTATGAAACCAAGTCAGCCACCCCTAAATACCTACCAGATACGAAAGAGGAGTAACATATCTGAAACTGATTCTGTTATGCAGAATTTCAGGAAGTAAATTAGCCGTGTTTTATTTTATTTTCTGATTGTTAGTTGTTGAATTATTTTATTTTAATTCTTTGAGTCAGTTAGCTGGACAAGAAGACCATTATGACTGTTAAGCGGTTCTAATGTTCTATCTTGCTATTCTAGAGACATTTGAGTCTGTTCGGGTATGTTAGGAGATTTCCCTGAATTTATTTAATTATTTTCATGTATTTCCAGCTCTATAAATAGGCTAGCAACCTCAGAAGGTAACCATTCAGAAATAAAACATAGTCCTATGCCATTTGGAGATTCTCCCCAGTCTTTGGCTATTAAGAACACTTATGTGATGACTTCCTCGATCTTTTCCTAGCATATTTAACCCTTCCGTTGTTCATCTAAATCAGTTTGAGTACTGACCGCAAACTTAATTGGGAGGGATATACCTTTTGCCCTCCATACCCTGAGAAAGATTAGTCTCTGGTATTGGCAAAAGATGCTCCTCATCATTTTTCACTGCATAAAAAACAAAATATGCAATACAAATGTCATTTGCAATCCATAATTTTTTTCTTTCATTCAATTTTCCTATCCGTTCCCGTTTGATGTGTTCCAAATTAGACATCTTCTTATGGGCCCTGTTGCGCTATTAATGATTAAATTTCTGGAGAAGAGGGTGGACCCGTCTTTGCTTGCACCCCTTTTTTCACTTAAAAAGTACCATATTCTAAAGATATAAAAAGATCCTTGCATATTTGTTTGAACAACTAAATTTATGTCTGTTGAAAATTTGATCATAGTACTCTCTGATGTCTTTGCAGGTTGCCAAAAGTACAACCTTTGCTGAAGATATTGCAGCCAAAGATAGTTCTGGTGATTTTATACGACTCATCTGGATACGCTTAGATTGACCTTACTTTTTTTGACTCATCTTATTATCGTCTGCAGTTTCCTGAGGATTTAAGGTCACAGATCAGTTTTTCTAGTGCAAATTCATTCACAACTTCTTATTACACTGAAGGAAAAACTCTGCGAGTACCGTGCCAAAAAGACAACGCAGAGTTAAAAATTGCGACTGACTTGGCTTCCCAATTCCACTGGAAGAAATTAAAGGAGGGAGACATCAATATCTCAAGATTAAAGGGGGAGTTATTCCTGGAAAATGCTAAACATCACTTGCTTCTGCAAAACGAGCAAGAAGATTCGTCGAAACGAAGGCCTCTGCTTCATTGGGGTTCACCCGACGTGGGAAGGCTTTTGACAGCACTATCAAAGTTGGGCATTAATGCAACTCTGGAACATGTTAAAAGTAACACTGAGTCACAGAGTACCTGTATACTCCATGTGCAGGACCCTCACAGAGCTTTAATTCAGGTTGGAGCAACCAGTACTTTTATCACTGCTGCAAATGAGAATGTGGCTAACTTAATTTTTGAAGCTATAGATAGCATTATGGATGGGATTTGATTTTGTGGCCTCTCTTTCTCTGATGTTTGTACAGAATCTTATTTCTTGGTAACAAAGTTAATCATGATTTTTGTGGTGACTTCACTGACTTGGTTGTTTATTAACACTGGGATTATCATTTAAATGAAACTAAAGGTTTGTCAGGGAAGACTCACCATTTGCTACAATGGAAATTCATACAACAAATTATTTGCAGTTGTTCCAAAGAAAATCAAGCTGGTCTTTTAGGTGATTGTGAGAAATCTTAGTGGAAAAATGCTAGAACTTCATAACCGAAATAAGCAACGAGCATACATAATCTACAACACTTCTTTTTTTAGGGAAAATTGCCCATAAATATCTATTTGAAGAATTAATTGCCTAATAATATGTGATATGATGTATTTTTATACATAAAAAGTACTAGTATTCTAAAGGATTTCATATACAAAAGTACCATTGGGAATTAAATAGGTATTTAAGTAAATTAATAATTTAGTATTTGAATGTCGCTCTTATTTTGGGTCTTTAAAGATAAAATTTCCAGCTTACGAAATGCTTTTGCCCTTAACAAAGTAATACTACCGTTAATCAAAAGTGAGATTTCACATTATCAGAATTGATTTATGGAGTTATTTGTGTATTGAATTGAAGTCCTAAGATTTTGGCCCAAAAAACAAAATGAAGTGCTAAGATGACAATGGTTTGAATTAAAGTCAAATTTCAATACATTAGAGTTACAAAAGCCTTACCCAAGGACCTGTTTAATTGCAAAATAAACATTCAAAGAATAAATTGAAAAACCTTATCTTTAAAATATTAAACTAAGAAAGAATTTTTCATAGAATAAATCGTCACTTATCTTTTTTTTTTTTTTTAAACATCATGTTCAGTTGATCAATCCTTTTATAAATAAAATAAGTCATAATTAATCAAGAACAGATCACAAATTGCGACGATTGAATCTAACCCCTAATAAATAAGGAAAATTAAAGTTTCAAAGTAGAGACCAACTGAAAATGCCAAATATAAACTGCATAGTTTCTCTGTTGGGTTTGCAACACTCTGCACTATACCTACTTGATATTCACATACCATGTCCCCTAACTTCTCACATAAATATCAAGCCACAATAAATATTTACAAACAGTAAGTTCAGAATCACTAACAATTGGTTTTAGTCTCAACCTTCACTTCTGCAACATATGTTCCAAAGTCTTAACTATGAAGCAATCTCAGATAACGACCAGAATACAACCAGAGAGAAGTTTTAAGGCTATGAAGTATCAGATTATTTTCCCAAGCAAAGTCATCAAGAACCTCTCGTAGTCCCCTGAGGTATCTCCAGCGACTCCATCTTCAAGATTGGATTTGTACATGGTGGCATACTCCACTCTAACTTTCAACAGGTCGATTTCGGCTCGAGTTACAATAGCTCTGGTGAGAGAATCTTCATCAGTTCCCAGCCCAACAATTGAGTCTCTTACAACCTGTTGATGAACGAAGTCAAGAAATTTGAACTAGAGATTTGGAATCTGTGGTCTAGAAGTTGGCTTACGAAAAAGATAGAAGTTGGCTCAAGATTGTACATTGTTCCAATATCAAATTGACTTAAATTAGTCATAAAACATTACTTGACTGAGTTTGAACATCAATAATTGTGAGATTATTTAGTCTTTTAGTTACGTTTTTAGGTGATATCTTTGCTGAACCTCTAGCTAAATTGCCAAAGCTTTGCTAGTCACATTTTGGGAACACCAAGACATTTCTTCTGTTTTCTGCCCAATTTATGAAGCGCTTTTAGAAAATATTTTTTCCCTCAACTCTACCAAACATATTCTTATTTTCAACTGTCATCCTGAAAATTCATCAACATATAATATAACTAACAACCACAGATCTTGATAAGTTATTTACATTTTTGGCTATTTAACAGATCAAGCTACACTTCGTACTTATCAAGATGGAAATTACCTTAGCAAAATGTCTCTCAGGGCAATCAATGCAGCATACTATCACATTTAAGAGAGACTCCAAATCTCCAGTTCCACAGTTTTCGATATCCTATCAACGAAATCATCATCCAAAATTAAGTTCCACTGGTTTAAGGGTAAAAATTGCAAGAACTAAGGTATTCTTCCAGAACCTGCTCCAATGCATTCCCATATAGTTGCTTGTATCTGGCAAAAGTTGCCCTGAGCTGGAAAATATTTCTGGTGCTAAGTATCCAAATAATGTCGTCATGGTCTAATTGCTTTTTGTTGATTGCCTCATGAAGTCTTGCTGCCTCCAACATCACTGCGTCAGGATCCGTAACCTCTTTATCATACCTGTAGGAGCTCACTAGGCCCACCAAAAGCTGCACAATGACCAGATTATGGTCCCATGGAAAATCAATGAACAACAACAAGCTTTATCCTACTAGATGGAGTTGGCTACATAGATCATACAACATCATTAGGCTATATCAACAACCTAGAAAAATCATAGAACAGATAAAATATAAAATTATGAATGCAGTATAAGATTCTGTTATTAGCATTTGGCTTAAATTAAGTTTATGAATCTTATTTTAGCAAGGGGCTAATGAGAACAACTTAAGTCTTGTATAAATCAACATATATTCAGGATTATCCAAAAGTTCCCACATCCTAGAAATCAAGTTTGAAAGCTGCACTTATATTATCTCTTCATCATTTTCATCAATCATCATCATTTCATCAGACACATTCGATTATTAAAGAAATATATTGAGGATCAGTTTTAGACCAGAGAATTGAATAAAGTGATTGTAAGAAACTCCCATCTACAACTCTGGTCTTTTGTTTCAGTGGATATAGCTTGTTTGTGGACAACAACATCAGTCTTAAGTCACCCATTTTAATATACAATATCTTTTCCCTTTTCGTAATCAACAGCAGAAATTTAAACCAAAAGAGAAACCGAGAAAAATTGAGCTTTAAACCTTATAACTGAGGGATTTGGTGCAAATAAGGATCCTTCACAATGATTTATTGTAAGATTTTTGAAATGCTTGGAAAAAGAGTGACACAAAAGTGAAAGTGCGCATAGAACTCATTTCTTTTCTTTCTTTTTTTTAAATCACAACTAAGAATTTCAAGGGATACAAACTCCTTTGAAGCTTTTCAGGTGCATTCACCAATCAAACAACTACCTTTTGTGATTTAATGGTAAATAGATATTAGGTCCCAATTCCAAATTTTTTGTTCTATGTTTCTAACAAACTACATGTTTTACTTTTTACCTTACTGAGGGGCTTGTAAACATTGGATGCAATGTCCTCCTCCAGTGAGCAATCAAAGAGAGAGCAGTAAGCCTGCCTCACAGCTATTAGATGGTTAGGAGACGACGCACATGCTATTTCAACTAGAACTTGTAGTTCTTTAATCCCTTTTTTCTTAGCCTTCAATGCAGCATTTGCCAATTTTGCATCCCTTTCTGGAGGATCAGTTGTCCATAGAATCACTGCATGCTGTTACAGAGCACAAGCCTAAGTTGAAGAGTGCAATAAGACATCACATGGTTACTTTCTTCAAAATAAAAAGGATCATTCTGCCAACACGCCAGTTAGGACTTGGCACAAATATCTAATGCAACTTAAAGTGACAAAGCAAATTTGCAATATGAAATACAACAACAATAACAACAACAACAACAAACCCTTATCCCACTAGGTGAAGTCGGCTACATAGATCAGATGATGCCATTGAGCTCTATCCAAGCCAAATCCTTGGATGTATTGTTAATTGAAAGATCTCGCTTAATAACTTCATGAAGTGTTCTCTTTGGCCTTCCCTTACCGTACAATTGAAATAAAATGAGAAAAAAAATTATATGCTAAGAAAGCATAACCATGAATTTTAGTTTGAGCAACAGAAGGCAGTTGTTCAATGCAGGCAACCAAGGCAATTTCACCAAAATGACATTATTCCAGTTGAGATATATACACAAATATCATAAGTGAATAAAATACAATAATGATGTAATGTTTCTTGACTCGTATTAAAAGAAAGGCCAAGGGAAGGGAAGGAAGAACAGAACAACATACTCTAAAGTCTCCAGAAAGTTCAGAATGTAATCGATCAATGAGTGATTCATTGTAAAGCTGCTGATACGTTTCTCTAATTTTCTTCCTTTGGTTTGCATTTCTGTGACCCAATACAAATATTATTGCCTCCTCATCTGTTCCAAATCCTACATAATTTTCCCAGAAGCGTCATCATTGACAATGATATGAGACAAGAAGTAATCCATATGGACATTTCTAAGTGTGTGTTATGAGGTTATAATCAGTACAACTCAGCACGCAAATCCAAACATAAAACATCTATGAAACTTTAGACATAAGATGTCCCAAGAACAAAATTAATACATTTATTCCGCTCTCGCCTTCCATTTGAAGGAATGAACTTTTAAACAAAAGGATCTTAAAGACTTGTATGCATTCAAGTTACAAAATGTTATTTCATGAGGTCCCACTAGCAGAACTTATACCTTCGATAAACAAATTCAGATACAGCTTAAATCATCAGGAAAAACGAATGTAAATGAACGAAACTAAATCACAGATACAATTTAGTGTTAAAAGTCTGTGAGAAAGAGACCTTGAAAAGCCTTTCTGAGTCGCTCGCTGTCCTGGATCGGAGCAGTAACCTCCGGCACTCTCAGAGAAGCCATTTTGCTTCACAGGCGTTGGCTACTTCCTCCCCAGAAATCTTCCTTCTTTCATGCAAGCAATCGTAATTTTTTCTGGACTTTTTTGCCCCTGACTTAAAGTGAACAGCTTTGTTGAGGGAAATGTGCATCTATATACCCAAATTTGAGAAAAATTACGTTGGAAGCTTTTAAAGACAATAAATTAATTTTAACACAAAAGGTTGTTACTAAATTTTAAGGAATTATTATAATTTTTACAAAATAAAATTTTCCTAAAGTCCTGTTGTAAGTCTTTGAAAGTTAATTGCCATTTTTAGATGTCAATAATTAATTTATAAAACTTTTCAACACAACTTGATACAATGGTATCCATAGTTTATAAAAAAAAAAAAATCTGTTTTACTCTATATTTTGTATTATACA